CAAGGCCGATCTCGAGGGCATGCCCTGCTACCTGGAGAGTTCCAAGGGGTTCCCCAATTTGGTTATCTATGAGAAGTTGGGGTTCGAGTTGGTCGAGGAGATTGAGTGTCTTGAGGGGAGGGATGCTTGCAAGGTATGTGCTTTTCTTTTCTTTTTCGGCTCTGGGTCTTGTGCAGGTAGAGGCTAACTGATTCTGTGTAGCTGTATTGTATGATCCGTCAGCCGAAGAAGGCGGATTAAGTGTCTGCAAGGGTTGACTTTGCCGTACTAGGGTTGTTTCCTTGGTTCACAATCGTCTTAATGTTGTTGCTAGCTAGCATTACATATGAGCATCAAACCTTAGTTACAGCGTCTACCCTCATAAATCAAACCCAGTCATCACCCTATCTGTACCTTTCTCCATTTCCTTGCCATATAATGCCTCTGCGGCCCGTAACACTGCATTCTCCACCTCAAACGCAGCCAGATACTCGACCGTCTTACTCTCCACCTCAGTCAACCTCTCCCAATCCGTCATCCCCACGCCCGCAACCCTCTCCCCGACATTGAAGCGAAAATAGACGTCCGGCGACTTTTCAAACCTCCCCTCTAGGTCCCGTGCAACGGTCTCAGCCTCGAAGCTCAGCGCCTCCACCACCGCGATAATCTTGGTCGGTAGAAGCCGCTGGAAGAGCCCCGGCCGACCCAGCTGCACCGGCGGGGGCCTCCCGGCCCCGAGACTCACCACGCAACCCACCGGCCGCCGCTCGTCAAACAGCCGCCTCGCCTCGTCGAGCAGCAGACGACATGGATTCTTCGTGCCGAGACTCCCATCCACAAACTCCTCCACCCCGACCCTCACGGGCTTGAACAGTCCCGGATGCGCCGTCACCGCCCGCGCCGCCTGCCAGACCGTGAGGTCCGGGTCGTCGCCCGCCCGATACGTGCGATACGAGCAGAACAGGCGCGCGTATTCCATCGCCTGGGTGCTGCGCACGCAGACGAAGCTAGATAGCATAAGTTTCTTTTCCAGGAAGATTCCTTAGGAGGACAGACTGGCAAGACAACTTACACTCTACAACCCACCTCAGCCTCCCCCTCCCCCTCGGCGGGATTCTCGTTCTCCTCGAGCAATAATGTCCTCTCCGGATCCTGATTCGAGGGAGTCGTGTACCGACTCACGAGGTCCCTCATCGCTGCCTCCATCTCGCGGGCGCTGTATTGCCCGTTCCCGCCGGGGTGTCGTTTCCGCTGGGAGAACACCCGCTCCACGAGCTGGCGGTACTCAGTGACGGTCTCGTCGATGGTGAGGCGGAGGCGGCCCAGGAGCAGCGCCAAGAGGCCGCCGTGGCCGCTGCCGCCGATGAGGTCGAAGAGCTCGTGGGGTCGAGGCGGTTCGGGCAGGGCGTGCTGTTGCTGGATGGCGAGGGTGATTGACTTGAGGATTATGAGTTGGCTGAGAGCTGTGATGCCGCCGCCGTCTTTTGACTTGGGGATTAGCTTTGGTCCAGGAGGTGTTGGAGGTTAGGGTAGGGTTGGGCTTACCAAGAGACAGGAGACGGAGGGGTTTGGTGGATTCTTCGGTGGACATTGTATTGTACTGCACTTTTACATGTGGGTTTCATATACCTGAGCGCTATAATGGTGTCTATTGAGCGTTGGACGAAGATCATTCTTATACTTATAGCAATTATAAAGCAGGGTGGAAGGGCGATGAGGCTGAAGTATAAGCGCTGAGCTTGGCGCCGGTGGTGGAGTTGAGTTTAAGGTTATTTTTGGTAGGCCAACCACTTCCATCTGTTCTTGAGTCCCATTGTGCTTTCATGATGAGCGCTTCCCAATTAGATCAAGATGAGTTACTATTTGGATTTTGATGACTGAATCTGGCGGTTAAGACAAGGGTATAAGCGCGCTGTCGCACGCACTAGGTACTCTGTGGCTCCGTGGGGTGCCAAGAAAACGTCTGTGAGTTCGGCTTCAACTGACTATATCTCAAGGGAAGAAGGTCAGTCAGTCAATCAAGATGTAATTTCTTGAAACCTCAATAGAGCCGCTGAGCAAATCTACACTGTCAACCAGGTCAACAGCACGTGAACGCTCAAGCCCTGCGGATCGGACCGACAGCGGAGTCTAAGATGACCGCTGATAAGCATGGGTCGATGAGATGATAACGTTAACGCATGAGTCGATATGAGCCATATGCTTTTGTCCATTCCGAGTGTAGATAGGACTTCTTAGCGTAAGCTTACTGCTTTAGTTCCAATGCTTGGCCAATGGTACGTACTTGACAGCCGATGTAATATTCCAGCCAGACTAAGCTGGCTAGTAAATTGCTTCTGACAAGACTATGTATGAGATATGGCGTGAACACTGAATTTAGCCTCGTCTAGCGATAAATATCCCACTTTAATAAGTATCCCACGTTTCCACTGCTTACTTCGATCTCTACCAGCATTTCTTTCTCAAACATAATCCTATCTTGTCTATCATCGCTTGTTCGTCAAGCAGAAAAACCACAACTTCTCCATCACAGTCCCTCACAATCCCTTCAAGCACATCCTCCGCCATGAGCACCGCCGACAGCTACCTCCCTCCGGCGCTGAGCGCGGAAAGCATCACCGCATTGATCCTCTCCCTCTCCCTCCCCACCCCCACCAGCATCACCCCCCTCGAAGTAAGAGCCGCGTTCCACTCGATCTACCTCATCACCTTCGCCACCTCATCCACCACAAAGATCCCCGCCCGCCCCAACCCCGACGGCAGCACGACGCTCGTCCTCCGCGTCTCCGGGCGCCAACTCCCGCGCATCAAGACCCTCAACGAAGTGGGCGTCATGACCTGGGTCCGGACACACACCTCCATCCCCGTGCCCGCCATCCTCCACCACGACGCCACCGAGACCAACCCGATCGGCCACGAGTTCACTCTCCTCGAAAAAGCCCCCGGCGTCAGCCTCGACACGATCTACCCGACCTTATCCGAGGCGACCAAAACCCACCTGGTCCGCCAGCTCGCCGACTACCTCATCGAACTGCACACCCACCCCTGGACGGACGGGTACGTGGGGGGTCTCACCCTCACCGCGTCCGGCGAAGTCGCGCGGGGCCCGCCCATCGACGAAACCTACTGGCAGATGCCCGACCTGGAGAAATACTGGTCTTCATCCACTGTCCCTGTAACGAGTCTGGAGACCCTCAACCCCATCCCCCCCGACGGGTTTACGGACTACGTGGCCTTCACCGTCGGCTGTCTGGACCGGTACCTCCACGCCATCGACATCCACCCGGCCCTGGAACCCTACCGGGATCTGGTCCGCCGCGTCCGCGCCTTCAGGGAGGCGATACAGCGGCCCGAGAATGCGGCCCGGCTAGACGAGGTCCCGTATGTGCTGGCGCACAAGGACCTCCACTGCGCGAATATCATGTGCGATCCGACGCAGCCGGGGTGTCCGATCACCGCGGTGCTGGACTGGGAGTTCAGCGGGGTGGTGGCGGCGCCGCGGTGGAATCCGGTGCGGGCGTTTCTGTGGAATGGGCGGGAGGGGGAGGAGAATAAGGCGGAGCGGAACCGGTTGGAGGCGGTGTTTGAGGAGGTGGTGAGGCGGGAGAAGGGGGCGGAGTGGGTGCTGGCGGAGATGAAGTGGCGGAGTCCGTTGCAGGAGGAGGTCCAGAAGGTCGTGAATCACCTGCGCGCGATTGTCGAGGTGGTTCCCCGGGGGCAGGCGGGGGAGAGAGCTGGGCTGTGGAGGACGGTTGTGGAGGAGGGGATGAGTTGTGTGGCACCTGAAGGTGGGATGGTGAACCCGTAGATGCTGCTATACCCGCCCGGCTATCTACTTTACCCGTTCTGTACTATAAATCTTTCCCATCAACACCACCACACCACATGTCACCTCCAACAGTTTCGCACTTCTTCAGCGGTAACTTATCATCCTTGATCATCTAGCTCTCTTACTCGATATTCATCCTCCTGAAAAATGACTACCCCTAAAACTTACCACATCTTCGGCCAAACCCTCGCCACCAGCCTCTCCCCGACCCTCCACAACGCCGCCTTCGCCCACCACCGCCTCCCCCACCACTACACCATCCAAGAATGCCCCTCCCTCGCCGCCGTGCAACACCTGATCAATGCCCCCACCTTCGGCGGCGCCAGCGTCACCATGCCGCACAAGCTGACCGCCTTCCCGCTGTGCGATGCAGTCAGCGACGCCGCGCAACAGATCGGGGCGATCAACACCCTGATCGCGGAGACGCGGGACGGGAAACGTGTAATCACCGGCGACAATACCGACTGGCGGGGGCTGTACGAGCTCGTGGTGGAGCACCTTGCGGGCCGGGGTGGTTGTCTCAGTTCCAGTCGCGACGATGAAGCCGGAGCCGGTGGTCCCGCCACTTCGCTCAATCCGGGCCTCACCCCCCGCGCCAACTCCAGGAAAACAGGCCTCGTCCTCGGGGCGGGCGGTGCAGCCCGCGCCGCAGTCTACGCTCTCCTGCAGGCGAACTTCGCCCGGATTGTGGTCGCCAACCGGACGGTCGAGAAGGCGGGCACGATTGTTCGGGATTTCGAGGGGTTGGCGGGGCCCAATGGAGCAACATGCGAGATTGTGGCCTTGGAGTACCCAATTCCTGCGGTGGCGGAGGTGGTACCGGATGTCGTGATCGGGACGGTGCCGGGGGATGTGGTCGTGGAGGCGGATGTAGAGGGGCTGTTCGCGGGACAGGAGCACGAGCACGAGCACGGGTTGGTGGTGGAGATGGCGTACAAGCCCCGGGTGACGGGGTTGATGCGCGCGGGGCAACAGGCCGGCTGGGAGGTGCAGGATGGGCTGGAGGTGTTGTTGAGGCAGGGGTTTGTGCAGTATTCTCTGTGGACGGGGAGGGAGGCCCCGGTGGAGGTGATGCGGGGGAGTATTGGGAGCATTGCGGGGGGTGTATAGTGTATTTATGTTCTAGAAAGGAGGAACAGATGGCGCTGCATAGACTGTGTACAAAACTATACTAAACACCCAAGAAACTTCCCTACAAAGCCAACTCCTCCACCAACAGCTCCCACGCCCTCATCCCCCTCCTCGCATGCTCGCGCGGCACAGCAGGATCCGCCTCCGTCAACGACCGCGAGAACAGCTCCATCGACACCCACCCCTCAAACTTCAGTTCTTTCAAAAACGCCCTCGCCACCTCCACAACAGGCAAATACCCGCCCATCTCCTGCTCAAACAAGAACAACCTCGCATTCCGACTCCAGCTCATCCTCGCCGGCTGACCCTCCACATAAAACGGATGGCCCGCAACAAGCGGCTGCGCCAACCTCTCCGCATCAACGACCTGCACATAAAACACCTTCCTCACATCAACCGTCCGCACCAACCTCCCCAACGACTCAGCCAGAACCCCATCCGCATCGCCCACCACTTGGCCAGAAACGGCCATCGGATCCGCCCACACCCGCCCCGCGATGTTGAAGGTATCCAAACAGCACCCGAGATTCGGCCGGTCCACGCGCCGCACCACCTCCCACAGCGTCTCCCAGCTGGAGACGTGCGTCGCCCACGCCAGGTTCTCGTATGCGAACCGCACCACGGGCGTTTCCTGGAGGCCCAGCTCCGCGATCTCGCGCATGTCCGCTACGATTACGTCCAGATCGCCGGTGGTGCCCGTGGGCTGGAAGTTGGACGGGATCTGGATGAGGTCTGTGCCGAGGGTGTGGGCGAGTTTGAACCAGGTGCGTAGTTTGGTGATGCGCTGGGCGTGCGCGGCGCGGTCGACGAGGCCCTCGTAGAAGAGGAAGGGCTGGAGGCTGATGATTTGCAGGTGGAGGGTGTCGCAGAGAGTTTTGGTGGCGCGGGCGGCTGCCAGGAGGGTGGGCTCGGTTACGGCGGCCTGGGATTGCTCGCGCGCGAGGTATTCCAGGTCTTCGTAGAAGAGCTCCACGCCGCGGAAGCCGGCGGCGGCGATTTGGGTCAGTTTCTCGGGGAGGCGGTGCGCCCAGGCGCGGCCGACGGACATGGTGGCGATGGCGGGGGTGCAGGGCATGGTGGGTGGTTGTGGAATTTTAGTTGAAATGGTAGGTTGGAGTGATTCGTGCGGTCAATGGTACCCAGATGGGATTGAATGCTTGCAGACGGGACTATATACGTGGACTACTTCTTATCTCACCCCCCACGGCTATATCCACACCCGATCAGCATCAAAAATTGATAGCCGGACTCTCCTCCGCCGCCCGCCGCAGCACCGCCCACGCCTCCTCCACCGGCAGATTGCGGCTCGCCTCCTCCCCGCACCACAGCCGGTACTGCTCCTGGATCTGATGGCCGATGATCTCCGTCCCCTCCACCGTCGTCCACCCATGCCGTTCCGCCGCCTTCAGGAACCGCGTCCGCCGCGGCTTGAAGCACATATCCAGCAGCACGCCTTTCCCGTTGGTTTCTATGGACGTAGATGCAGATGCCGGAGCAGAAGCCAGGAACGCCTCCACAATCGCATGCACCTCGACTTCCTCCGGGGTAGTCGGCTCCGCATCCGGCACCGTGCCAACCACATAGAACGGCCGCTCCGGCAGCGCTGCCACCTGCTCCACCTGCGTCAAATGCACGAGCTCCAATCTCCCGCCGTACACCCTGTAACACTCGTCCGCGAGCTCCCTCACCTCACCTGCATCCCGGTTGACGATGTAGATCGTGGAGCATTTCAATTCAGCGTGGAGCGCATACACCGCCGCGCGAGCAGCGCCACCCGCCCCGATAATCGCCGCCGGCTTCCCCCTGCCGGAGGCGCTGGCCCCCTCCAGGCAACCCAGGACCCCGCGCCAGTCGGTGTTGGTGCCGCGGAGGGCGCCGTCCGCGGTGCGGTAGACGTTGTTGCACGCGCCCAGCGTCACGGCGGGCTCGTCCAGCCCGTCCAGGTGCGCCATGATCGTCCGCTTGTAGGGCATGGTGACCACGGCGCCGCCGCTGAAGGTCGGCGCCCGGAACAGCGCCATCGCTTCTTCCACGGTAGCGCACTCGCGGGCCTGGAAGTGCCAGTCCGAGTGGCCCAGGGCGCGGAAGATGTGGTTGTGCATAGGAGGCGCGATGGAGTGGGTTACGCCTATGCCCACGAGGTAGGAGAATTTATTGGGCGAGGGTTGAGGTGGGGGGTCCATTTTTGGTGTGTGATGGGAGTGAAGATGGAAAGATGAAACGAGGGTGAGGATTGATAATGGTATAGTAATTCTCGTGGTGGGTTCGTTGGATGTGGTTTGTATTGTCAGTGGCAGGCTTAAATGGCTCTCGTCTCGGGGATGAGTATACCCGCACACGGGAAGAGTCTCTCCCGATGGCCAGCGACGGCATGGGGGATTTCCGAACCTTAAAAACGTCTACTGCACCCCACGGCTTTCTCCGCACTCTCTTCATGCATACAAGTCCCAGAACCTGTTACATCAGAATCGAACGCCGTTTGCAATACACTTACACACAATGCCAGACCTGCACTCCCTCCCCGCCGGTTCGCGCCCGGAACATGCCATCCGCAACAACGGGCCCCGCGACCTCGCGCTGGAGCGATACATGCTCCGCGAGCTCGCCGAGGGCTGGCCCTGCTACCGCGACGCCTGCGAGTGGGAGAACCTGCGCTCCATCTTCCACCCGGACGCCCACATCTACACGACCTGGACGGGGCTGACCCACCACCGGGCCTTCATCGAGGCCTCGCAGGCCGGCATGGACAACGGCGCCTTCATCATGCACCGCATCCACGGCAGCACCACCGACATCGACCCCGCGGCCACCCGCGCCGTCACCAAGATGAAGGCGACCATCACGCAGCGCTTCGCCGGGCTGCCCTGCCACGCCGGCGGCGTGTGTGAGGCCGATGCCGAGAGCGACTGCCGCTTTATCTTCTTCTGGCAAAAGGTGCAGGCCGACGACCCCGATCACCCGGAGTTGGGCGGCCAGTGGCGCGCCGTCTTTGTCCGGCATTGGTACGAGAAGGATAAACTGATCCCCGTGACGCCGGATCGGGTGCCGGTGTTGGATCACGAGCGGCTGCGCGCGTATCCGCCGGGTTATCGTCATTTGGCGTACCTGCAGGAGCAGACGATGGGGGTGAAGGTACTGCTCGATCTGCCGGGCCATCGCAGGGAAGGGGACAGTGTAAATGGGCGGAAGCATGATTTGTTGTATTGGCAGGCCAAGGAGTGGCTGGATGGGAAGGAGATGAGTTGGGAGTGATTGTTGTGCCCGGAGCTTGTACGTCTGACTCATTTGTTGTACATCTGGATAAAGCGATACTTAGGAATCAATGATCGCAAATGAGTGACTACTCTCTGCCAGTGACTCTGCCAGTCAAGTATTCTCGGGTATATACTGAAGCTGCTCGAGGAAGTCTGTGTCCATGTTGCCCGCATAGAAGCCCAGGTTTTCCGCGAATGTGGGTTCGTGTCTAACAGATATGTTAGTGGTCGAACAATACAGCGTGGTTGCAGAAGACATACCTGGTGGCTGGGATCGACGTCATGATCTCTTCGAACAAGGCATCAAAGTCCTCGGTTTCCTGTGTCTGCACTGGTTGTGTGGCCAAAGATCCAGAAACATTCCAAGCGGACGTCGGAATCTGGGGTATGACTGGTGCAACCACCATATCACTACGTTCTAGTGCTGAGCCTGGCACTTGCCGGGCGGGGGTATCGAGAGGAGGACCAGACATACTGCTTGTTACTCGGTGTCTGAACAGCGGTACCTCCGAGTCCTGGCGGGCGCCGGCGGCATCTTCGAGCTTCAGCATATCCACATGACGAGAAACTCGATCTTTCAGCTGTCCCGCTTCGTCACTTCTGAAGCATCGGGATGAGGTCTCTAAAGACTTTCTAGCCTGGAATGTGAAGCAACGAAGCAGTGGAGTTGAGCTGAAATTGTCGGTAATCTGCACGTAGTCATCAAGCAGGTTGACCATCGTGCGCACGTTCCGAGCCGTCTCTAAGGCTGCGGAAGCATCCTCCAGCTTGCACTGCTCGACCAGGTGTAACAAGGCGAAAGATGAAGTGAGATGAAGGATCAATAGAGGGGGCGTAGCATATTCCCGGCCCTTGTATGGGCGTTGCTCGGATATCTGCTTCTGTAAGCGTTGCAAGTCTACAAAGACCTCTTGTGCAGAGATGACGCCCGAGGTGCACAGCGGCAGGCGATTGAGGATCCGCATGAACTTGTGGATCATGTTGAAAGTGCTTAGAGCACGAAGAGGGCTCTTCGAAATGAATCGCGTTTCCTCACCCTGGACTCGTCTCGTCATGGTCCAAGTGTCCCATTCATCCACGTCATCCTCGTCAACCTGTGCACAGACCTGGTGTTCTGGTCCGAGTAAAGCTGGTGATTTGTGGACCAGAGCCGATATGATCCCGTCAAGGAAGGTACAGCCAACGAAAGCATGCTTGGAACGGTGAGTCCGCGCTGGCGCGGGCAAGACGGCGAGTAATCGAGTCGCGTATCCCACAAGCACCCATGCCTGATCGAGATCTCCCCGGTCAAGATGACAGAGGACGAGGATGAGGAGGGCTTGGATATGGCTCAGTTCTGTCCGCTCATAGTTCCCGATGAGTCGCATTTGAATCGACTGCTGTATTTTCGAGCGGAGCGATCGGGTCATGGTAGATGTGTAGGCAATAATGGCCCAGAGCACGAGACGACACGCAGAGTCTCTTGGTGAGCCCGAGTGGGTATGCATAACGCGCAGGATGTCTCTGCGTTCGACTATTGGAAACCAGCAATGGGTGTGAAGGAAGTAGGAATCCACCAACTCGGGTGTGTTATCTGGAAGTGGCAGATCCAGTGATATCGGAGTATGTTGGGGTGGAGTGTCTTCCCGTTGTTGTTCTTCTCTCCCGCTGTGTCTGGGGACTTCCCTTTCCATCCCCATCTGCTCTCCTTCTTCTCCTTCACCCAGGCAGTTCTCCACCAGATCCTCTCCCAGCCCATCATCATCAAAGCCAATGTCGCCTGCATCATCTCCAGCCTCTGCTTGACTCAAGTAAATAACCTCTTTGGCGGGCTTTGACCTCCTCCAACGGTCGGCCAACTCACTGCAAGCGAGACGCTTACCCTCCCGAGCACCTCGGACGATACGCTGCAGCGTGCTCTCACTATTAGGGACCCGTTCGAGGATGATCCCGAGCGCGACCTCCAAGCTCCTCACATATCCCGATTGCAACCCTCTTCGTCGACTGCTATTTTGATACGTGCACGTCCGGTTTGCCGCCTGACAGATGGAGCACACGGGCTGCTCGCCGCCGCACTTGGACTTCCGACGCCGACATTGGTCACACGCCCGGCCAATGCGCTTTCTCTTCGGCAATCTGGGATTTGGCATGACATAGAAACCCAAAGACTGCAATGCATGAACCTGACAGACAGCATTGTGCACGCAGATGTCTCGTCTGGTTCAGATCCCGGGACGTCATGTGATCGGTTAGGACTTTAAGCGATGGCAAATTTCGGTGATTCCAACTTCACTGACAGACAGACAGATTGAGATCACGATATACTATCTGTTTATCCCAACTACTAAAGTTCAATGTCTAAGTATCATCGCGCACCCTCCTAGCCGACGATGGCACCAGGAATCTCTCCTCCCTACTCCCCGCCACATTCCGGGAGTGTGACCTCCACCAGACGGTACAGTCCCGATGCAACACTCGTACTGGTCGGATTTGTCGGGGCGGGCAAGAAGACGCTGGGGATCATCGCCTCTGTCGCACTCCGCCGTCGCTTTATTGACTTTGATACCGTGTTCCGTCAAGAAACACAGACTTCGCCTCAGGAGTACATCGCACAGCATGGTTCTACGCGTTACCGAGAACTAGAATTGACGCTGACTCAACGACTCCTGGAACAACATCATGTCGGCTGTGTGATTGTTGGTCTGGGATGGCTGGCCACCCGCCAACAGCAAGAGCTACTAAGCACGTTCGCCCAGGAGCACCCTGTCGTATATGTCAGGAGAGATCGGTCGGATCTGCAACGAACTATCAACATCAATCAGGAAAAGTTCCATCATCTTTTTGCAGTGGGGAACGCATTCTTCGAGGCTTGCTCCAACTTTGATTTCTACAATCTGACCCAAAGTACGACAGGTGGTGATGGCAGACCAGAGGCCGTTCATATGCGACTGAGACTGGCCGGAAGAGTGTTCATTGCCTTTCTCGAACGCATTTACGGTCAAGCCACCTGCAGTGTGTACTCAGTCAACCCATTTATCGAGGGTTTTACACATGCTTTGCAGATTCCTATTAGCTGGCTAGAGGAATCTAACTCGGACTATGCACAGCTGGACTGTGGGGCAGATGCCTTAACCATCTTAATCGACGTTTATTCCCGACACAGAACCACGGAGCTAGCTGAGAGCTTAGCACAGCACATGGCTACTGTCCGAATGTATGCCAGAGTTCCGGTTCTCGTGGAGATCGCAGATGCAAATCAACTTGAGCCTGTGGAGTACCACAACCTCCTGAAACAACTTCTCAGACTAGTACCAGATGCTCTCGCATGCTCTCTTGGTAGTTCTCCGGAACATCTGCGAACTATAATCGACACGAAAGGCTACGTCAAGGCAATTGCTACCTATCACATATCGGGCCCATTGTCATTGCAGAGGTCAACAGGTGTTTCTTCAGAACTCAAGAAAGCTGAAGAGTTTGGCTTCGACGTTCTACGAATTACTGGGGAGTCAACAGTTGAGATTGATAACCTGGCTTGTATCGCACTACGTCAACGTCTAGCCCACGTGGCTAAAATTCCGATAATTGCCTACCACAAGGGAAATCTAGGCAGGGCGAGTGTTTACTTGAACCCAATCCTATCACCCGTGATGCTCCCTCACATGCAAAGCGAGGGAATCTCGCTGCAGTCTGCCGAACAGGCTCTCACAGCTTGTTATATGAGGCCCAGGAAGCTGTTCACGATATTTGGCCAAAACGTGGCGCAAAGCCTCTCTCCAGCAATGCATAATGCCGCCTATGCTGCTTGTGGTCTGCCACATCAGTATGATAGCGTGCAGTCTGGAGTCTTCGACGAGGTTATCCATCTTCTCGCCGATGCCAACCATGGTGGTGTCGCAATCTCATTACCGTACAAAACCGAAGTGCTTCCTCATTTGGATGAAATAAGCCGAGAGGCAAGGGACATTCACGCTGTGAATACTGTGGTCCTGGAACAGAGCGTCTCAGAGACTGGGCAGCCCAGCAGAAAGCTCAAAGGATACAATACAGACTATATTGGTATCATGGCTGGAATCGACAAGAACCTGTCACCAGCCAATGCCATTCGTGCCGGTACATCGGCCTTGATTATTGGGGCCGGCGGTATGGCCCGTGCCGCGATCTATGCTTGCCTGCAGCTGGGTGTGCAGCATATCTGCCTTTACAACAGGACAGCTTCTAACGCAGAGAAGCTTGCGGAGTATTATCGTGACTGGGCTGCGTTGTCGGAGTCGGCTACTGGCCTTCGTATCGGGGTTTTATGTTCGGCGAATGAGCCTTGGCCCCGACATCTGCGACAGCCTACTATCGTCGTGTCTTGCTTACCTGCTCTTGACATTGGCAGTCAATCGCCCGTAACTCTGCAGTTACCTGAGCAGTGGCTTCAGAGTAGCACGGGCGGAGTCTTCGTGGATGTGAGTTGTTCTTGCCTCCTTGCAGACACAAACTAATGAAAAACAGGTTGCGTACGGGAAGCATCAAACGGTGCTACGGACATCAATGAACGACAGGGCCTCGAAAGGATGGGTGGTCGTTGATGGCTTAGTGGTTCTGCTGGAACAGGGCGTCGCTCAGTATGAGCTTTTCACCAAACGACCGGCACCGGTACATGTTATGAGGCGCACCATACAACAAAAGTCACAAGGTTTCTATCCAACTTCGCCCAGTGTTTCGACTTGAGGCTTGTATATACATTTCCAATGATAAAGCAATGATCCCTGTTTCCCAGACCTACACCACAGACATTCTATGCATCCGATGCAGCCCTCGTCGATGACATCGACTAGTCTACCGCAATAGCGTCCACTTCGATCTCGACCAGCATGTCGGGGTCGATGAACCCATTGTGCACCACAATCATGGTCGCAGCTGCTCCAATCGGCGTGTCGCTACTGCTAGCATTTTCCTTGCCCAGAATCTCCTTGAATCCCTCCCCCACGGCGCGACAGTCCTCCCGCCGACTAACGAACATCTTCACACGCACAATGTCTTCGGGACCGCGTCCCCCCATGGCTTTGACGGCTTTGATGCATTCCTGCAGCGCCACGCGCGTCTGTTGCTTTGCGTCGCCGGGGAAAAGAATCTGCGGGATGCTTGTGGTGGGATCGACGGAGGTTGTGCCGGAGACGAAGATGTGTTGGCCGTGGCGGACGGCGCGATAGTAGCCGATGAGATCCTCGAAGGGGGAGTCTGTGGCGTAGCACTGCTTCGACATTTGTGTATGACTTGGTGGGAGAGAGCGTAGGTGAGAGGTGAGTAGTGAGTGGTGAATGTGGGCGACAGTGGGTTGACGAGAGAGAAAGAAGTAAACAGGATCTTGCACGACAGTATCTTACAACATATATGAACAGCTGAACATGAGATACAAGTACTTGCTGTCTCTACAAGACATTTATACACTCTATGACTCATTCACAGCGAGCACTGACCCTACTTCCTCTTGGCAGGACAACTGGCCAGCCGCAGGAATTGGATAGGATGCAATCCAGAGCCAAACTCTACTTCTCTCCCCTCAACACGAGGTCAACAAGCTATATACAAAATTCCACCCCCCAAACCTTGTTGCAAGCAACCCCATTAATCTTTCAATCCCCTGCTCTGCTCTCCAGCCGGATCCCTCCTCTCGCGCATCATCATCACCCACCGCTGCCGCTCGCTCCGGCCCCCCAGCCCCGCGAAATCCAACTCCAACACCTCCAGATCCCGCCACCCATACTTCCGATAAACGGGGTACCCTTCCTCCGTCGCCTCCAGATACACCCGCGCATTCCGCGCATCCGCCCGCTCCAACCCCCACCGCAGCAACCCCGACGCCACGCCTTGGCCTTGTGCTTCGGGTAGCGTCGCCAGGAATTCGAGGACTGCCCCCTCCCCCAGCCCCTTTGAATTAGCGTGATCCCCCACCTTACTGACAACAACAACACCAAGAAAGAACAAGAAAAAGGAGGCAACACCAAGGAAGAAGACGGGAAAAAACGCACCGAAATCCCCCTCCCGCAGATACTTCGCCTTCAAGCGCTCCAAATCCCCCCAGAACCGGGAGTGGATGGCCAGGTTGGTGCCGGGGGGGAGGGCCCCGTCCCCGGCCTGTCGAAAGGCGGTGACGAGGTCTTGGTTGGCGGGGGAGAGGGCAATTGGACCGGAGCTTGCGGGGGCGGGGGGGCCAGGGACCGTCCAGCGCGCGTAGCCGACCACCGCGCCCGTAGCGGGATCCTCGGCGACGAGGAGGTGGGAGGCGCTGTCGGCGAGCTTGGTCAGGGTGCGGGCGAGCTTGAGCGGGTAGGTGGCCCGGCGGTCGAGGGCGGGGAACAGGTTGCGCCAGAACGGGGTGGGCTCGAAGGCGGTGATGTTGATGTGGGCGAGGTGCGGGGCGTCGGGTTCGGTGGCGCGGCGGATGGTGAATTTAGTTGAGGGGGGCATTTTGGTGGTGGTTGTTGTTGGGGTTGCTGTTGTGAGGGATGAGTTAGATGAAGAGTACGCAGGGCTAGGGACGGTGCAGTATTATAGTAAGTAGTCTAAGGGGTGAAAGGGCAAGCGGAGGCGGGGACGCAATGAGGAAATTAGTGGGTTTATGTGCAAGGGCAAATCCATTTGCCATACGGGGGGGGGGCTATAAGGTGGGAGTGATAAGCGTGGATCGAACTTCGTAAGGCGTGGTTTGCGTGTGTCCGAGCCCAGAAGCGTTCCTTAGATTGAGTCATGTAGTAAGACGATGATTGGATACATGTAGACACTTGGATGGATAGGGACTAGACCTGTGGGGATTGACAGGCTGTCTGTGAATACGCACTCCAGTCGGACAAGTCAGACACACGAACATGGAGAAAACTACTACAATAATGTCTCAAGAACAATGGAAGAACCTGTTGAAGTCTAACGAATGTAAAACAGTGGAATAAAATACATCAGAACATGCGGGATGCCCCTCCCTTTGTACTAAATGAGTGAGTGGTATCGAGTATGTGATACAACGAGTGACAGAACTTTCGGTGAACATATTCAGTGGGAAGCGTGAAATAGAGACATTATGTTTTTAAGAGAATGGTGGGCCAGATCCTTACAGGATCAAGGCCAGGAGAGCCACAAGACCAGAGAAGACCGAAAAGACGCCAGCGTAAGGTGCGACCTGGGGTGCTCCAGCCCCGGTGAACAGAACACCGGTTGATGATGCCGACGGTGCAGCCGGGGGTAGGTTGTAGCGGAGAGTGGGTTCGTAGGCATCGACGCCCGTGGAGTGGGGACTAACAACGCTCGTAACCGCAGTGGGGACGGCGAACGACGAGGGAGTGGTGGCAGAGGATTGTGGCACATACACGGGGATCACGTGGAAGGTGGAATCTTGTTGAATCGTGATGCTGGAAGCTACCTTGTCCATGACAACCGGCTCTGTGCGGGCCGGAGCGGCAGTCGTCATCGCACTTTGCACAACACTCGTCGCGGACGGCTCAGAGCCAGGAACGTGGTGAGCTTCATCCAGGTTGGGAGTGAAGGGGTTGGTTGGGGCCGCGGCCTCGTGGGTGGGGTTAGACTGCGCAGCAGACTCGTTAGGCTCACTCGGGGCGAGGGCGGAGTGAGTAGGTGCAGGAGCTTCAGTGGCCACAGCGTCAACCTTGGGGGCTACTGTGGATTCGGTGGGAAGGGTGCGTGTCACCGTACGCACGACCTCTTGAACAGTAGGCTCGCACGATGTCGAAGCCTTGGGCTCGGGCTGCTTGGGAGGTTCATCCGCATGGGGCTCTGCCTTAGGTTCCTCCGGTTTGGTCTCCTCATGTGCTGGCTCCGGAGCGGGCGCGGGAGCAGGCTCATGCTGAGGCTCTGGAGCCGGCTCAGGATCGTGCTTGGGCTCGGGAGCAGGGGCCGGATCCTCGTGCTTCGGTTCCGGAGCAGGTGCAGGAGTGTCATGCTTCGGCTCGGGAGCAGGGGCTGGATCCTCATGCTTCGGTTCCGGAGCAGGTGCAGGAGTGTCATGCTTCGGCTCGGGAGCAGGGGCTGGATCCTCATGCTTCGGTTCCGGAGCAGGCGCAGGAGTGTCATGCTTCGGCTCCGGAGCCGGCTCGGGGTCGTGCTTGGGCTCTGGCGCAGGCGCCGGGGCTTCATGCTTGGGCTCCGGGGCTGGCTCAGGGGCTGGCTCAGGTGCAGGCGCCGGAGCCTCGTGCTTCGGTTCCGGAGCAGGTGCAGGAGTTTCATGCTTCGGCTCTGGAGCCGGCTCGGGGTCGTGCTTGGGTTCTGGCGCAGGCGCCGGGGCTTCATGCTTGGGCTGCGGGGCTGGCTCCGGGGCTGGCTCAGGTGCAGGGGCCGGAGCCGGGGCAGGAGCCGGAGCTGGAGCTGGGGCCGGAGGAGGAGCGTCGTGAGTGGGAGGCTGAGGGTGCCCATGAGGCTTCGCGACAATGGTGGTCGTAACCTGTGCGTGCACGGAGTGATCATCCTTGTGGTAACTGTTGGATTCAACATCCACAGTATTAGTGAAAGGCATCACCACGCTGTTGCCGATGTCAACACCAGACGGGCCTCCCAGAATGCTGAAGTCCCCTCCCCGGCGGGCATGATGCTTGCTGATGTCAATGTCGACCGAATGATCGTCATAGCTCTGCTCGTTGACCTTGGACTTGAAGGAGTTGCTAATAGGAATATCAACTGAGTTGCCAATGTCAACACCCTCAGCCCCGCCGATCACGTCAACGTGCTCGCCCCGGCCGCGGGCCTTGTAGTGATGGGGGTGTACGATGGTGGTGTCGGTGTCGATGTCGCGAGAGTGGTCGTCCTGGTAATAATCATTAACCTCAGAGGAGAACTTGCTGGTGATCGGCATATCAAATGTGTTCCCAGTATCTACACCCCCAGGTCCGCCAATCACGTCAACATGATCACCGTGTTGGCGCTTGTGGACAATCTTCTTGTCAACATCAACATCCCACGAATGATCATCCTGGTAATAATCATTGACCTCGGAGGAGAACTTGCTAGTGATCGGCAGCGAAAAGGTGTTTCCGATGTCAACGCCCTCCGGTCCACCGATCAGGTCAACGTCATCACCGTGTTGGCGCTTGTGAACAATCTTCTTGTTGTAGTCAATGTCCCGCGAGTGGTCATCTTGGTAATAGTCGTTGACTTCCGAGGAGAACTTGCTTGTGATCGGTAGGTCAAAGGTGTTCCCGATGTCGACACCTCCGGGTCCACCAATCACATCAACGTGCTCGCCATGCTCGCCATGCTGTCGCTTGTGGTGAGGACGCACGATCGTCTTATCATAATCCACATCCCACGAGTGGTCATCCTTGTAATAATCATTCACCTCGGAGGAAAACTTGCTGGTGATGGGCATGTCAAATGTGTTGCCAGTATCAACCCCGCTAGGCCCACCGACCACGTCCACATGTTCGTGTCCTCCACGAGCCTTGTGGTGGTGAGGCCTAACAACAGTCTTATCCACATCGATGTCTCTGGAGTGGTCGTCTTGATAGTAGTCATTGACTTCGGACGAGAACTTGCTTGTGATAGGGAGGTCAAAGGTGTTGCCGGTATCGACACCACCAGGGCCGCCGATAACATCCACATGCTCGCGCTTGTGATGGGGACGGACAATCGTGGTATCCTTGTTCAGATCAAAGGAGTGATCGTCAACATATGCGTCGTTGACGACGGAGGAGAATTTGCTGGTGATCGGCATGTCAAAGCTGTTGCCGGTATCGACACCACTAGGGCCGCCGATCACATCCACATGCTCGTGGCTTCCACGGGCCTTGTGGTGGTGAGGCTTAACCACAGTCTTGTCCACATCAATATCGCGGGAGTGGTCGTCTTCATAGTAGTCGTTGACGGTGGATGAGAACTTGCTGGTAATAGGGATGCTGACGGTGTTCCCGGTGTCAACCCCTCCAGGCCCGCCGATAACGTCCACGTGCTCATGCTCGCCCCTAGCCTTGTGGTGGTGAGGGGAAACGACAGTCTTATCCACATCAATATCACGCGAGTGATCATCGACATAGGCATCGTTCACAGTCGAAGAAAACTTGCTGGTGATGGGCAAATCAAAGGTGTTGCCGACATCAACTCCCTCAGGCCCACCGATCACATCGACATTCTCATGATAACCACGTGCTTTGAAGTGACCAGGTCCGTGGTGCTTGGGGTTCACGATGGTGGTATCTCTGTCAATGTCCCGGGAGTGGTCATCAATATACGCGTCGTTGACAACAGACGAGAACTTGCTCGTAATCGGCATATCGAAGGTGTTCCCCGTGTCAATACCCTCAGCGCCGCCGATAACGTCGACATGTTCGTGCCCTCCGCGAGCCTTGAAGTGGCTCGGGGGGTGCGACTTGGGTTTCACAATGGTGGTGTCGATATCAATATCACGCGAGTGGTCATCGACATAGGCATCATTGACCGTGGAGGAGAATTTGCTGGTGATGGGCAGAGCAAATGAATTGCCCGTGTCAACACCGCCGGGCCCTCCGATGACGTCGACGTCTTCGTGCCCACCACGAGCATGGTGGTGCTTGGGATGACCGTGAGGCGGCACCACCTCGACGACATCCTTCTCCAGCTCAACGGAGTGGTCATCTTCATGGTACGAGTTCTCGTGGTTCGACTCCGCGTGGACTTGCGGCTTCACGTAAGTCGATCCCTCGGACAGTCCGTCGTTGGACTGGATCACCTCCTCTCTGGCCTTGTGGTGGTGAGGGCGACGGCCATGGCCCGGCTCGATGACGGTCTTCTTCGCATCAAGGTCGAAAGAGTGGTCGTCCGAGCGGTAGTCGTTCACCTCACTCCGGAACTTGTTGTCGACCGGCAGCGCGGCGTCACTGCCGCGATCTTCGCCCTGCGAGCCCCCGATGACCGAAGTGGCGCGGGCGACAGCAGCCAGGGCCGCGAGTGGGATTCCTGCCTGGAGTCCCTTCATGCTTGTTGCTGTTGGTGTTAATTATAATCGATAGAGATTTCACGTCAAGGTATAAGAAACAAAATACAATACAACCGAAAGTTGAAAGAGTGACTGGGGGCCAAGGCCGGTTGAGGGAGGGGCGTAGGAAACAAAGATTAAGGAATGAATTAAAAAAGAATTGGTTGTCGACTATTCACGTACGATCGATTCGACCTGCTTCGAACAAGAAGCTCCTAGGTTTGCGGACCCTGTTGCACCTTTTATCATAGATGGCATCATCCTGGCGCCGGCATGCTTCTTCCTCTGCGGCAAACAAACAAATACAAGCAGGGTGTTGTTGTCCTTCTGAGAATGCTGTGAAGAATGGGCAGTCCTCAAAATCCAAGCCAGACCATGTGTTCCCAGGAACTTGAGGGTTCTTCCCTCAGTGGTGGTTCGCTGCATTCCTCATGCTGAATGGCGTATAGAGTCAAGGGATCGGTATGCGCGATCTCCACGCCTGGATGAACATAATAGGTGCGGATATCAGAGATGTCGTCCTGGTCCAATGGGAAATCGAACAAAACTTCGCATTGATCAATGGGATTCGCTCCATCTGGACTTGGAAGCGTGATGAAAGTAGGAGAACAACTTGGTGTATGGGAAACGGCCAGGTACGAAATCTACAGCGATGAGGATCCCCTCGCCGGCGCCCGGCATGACTTTCTCCCGCTGCTTCTTTGATTAATCCGGCACTGCCAGCGGCCACCCGAGGACAGTCTGATTCTGCAGACTGATCAATTGGTCTAGACGCAGCTTTTAGCGAGTTTACGAAGTTGAGCGAAATAAGTGAGGGAATGGCCATTTTATTCAAGTTAAAGATATTCAGTACAGTCATTATATACCAAAAGTGATGTATCCCGTCATCGACATTCCCCCCTCATCGCCCTCACTGAAGAGGACACAACGAGAAGCGAACTTCCTATCAGGGAGAATTGTTCTCCAGAGCCGATCAGTCCGTAGACCGAAGGCAACACTCGTCGTGGGAAGATGGACGAGGGTCGTGGCAGGCTCTGTTAGCTTTTTTCGATGTAATGAAGAAAAGAAAAAGTTCAGATAGGGAGCGCTGCCAGCACACGGTATTTATGTGGCCTGTGGATCACGTGCTTGAGCTAGGCATCCGTCCCTCGCTAATTGCCAAGCTGTCAGGCACCCACCCGTTTGGCCTGTATGTTCTGTTTGTATTTGATCTTATCCCATTGTTACAAGCAACAATCTCGCCCCGCATGCCTCGCTAGCAAAAGACCAGAAAGAGCCACCAAACCCTCATTTATGTACAGGAACTCAGAAGAACTAAAAAAAAAAGGGAGAGAGAGAGAGAGAAAAGTAACCTCAAATGAAAAGGCGAAAAATGTACATGCAACCCAGTTCCTACCCAGCGAATGCTCTCCAGACTCCAAACTCCCATGCAGTATAGTTATGCTCCGCAGAAATGTGTTGTTTGAGGTGATGACACTGCAAATTGTATCACAACCGAGAATGGTAGGTTGAGGTATCGACAGAGAGGGGCAAGGAGACACTGGTCCTGTTCGTGTACTGTACTTAGCATTTCGCGCCTCCCATGAAGCCATAATATGCAACATACCTCTGTATCCTCAGCCGATTAACTCCTGTCGGTGATCCGACCTCCAAACGGCTCCTCCGACAGCGACGGTAATTCCCACCGCGATCGCAATCATGGTTCCCAGGATCACCACGGCAATGACGCCTTTGGCCACGATGCGCTGCTTGCGGCTCAGCCGATTCATGCACCCGCAGTGCCTCTTCGGTTGGCCCCAGAGATTCGACGTCGACTCATGACGGCTGCCCGACTCCAAGGCGGATACGTTGAACATGGGCGGGCTCTCGGGGATGACGGGGGAAATGTAGCGCTGGACGGTGGGCTGGGGTTTCTCACTTTCCACCTTCAGGCGATCGATGTTCACAGATGGGGTGGCATGGCGATAAAAGGGTGAGGAGGGCTTTGCGCCCACACAGGGGTTGTAGTCTCCTGGCTGGAGATCAGGGGAAGAAGCCGCCGCCGCCAGGTGTGCTGGTGTTTCAGAGTCGGCGGGGAGCTCGACCGCGGCGGGATATTTCTCGGCTTCGCACACACCGTGACCTGTCATTTCGCCAGGGTGATTCGCTCGGTTGGGGGTCCCTGGGATGTGGCGTGGAATATCGGATGCTGTTCTTTGGGGAAGCTTGTTTGGGGCAGATGTTAGGTTGAGACTTTGGGGTCAAAGATAGGAGTGCAGGTGTAGGTCATGAAGATCAGGTTTATCGGTGTGGAGCTCCAGGAGCAGCAACCTAATGATAGTACTTGGTCGCAAAGGACAACGTCTGGGCCCAGGGTGTCGTAGGCCGTTCAATGCATGATGGAAGGGGGTAATAGCAGTAAGTCAGTGGTGGCTTCCTGAGGCGTGCAGCGGGTTGCGACTCGGGGCTCGCCATGGCAAGATCCATCCTGATCTTTTGTGTCTTTTCATCGGCGGGAGCTAACGATGACAGTTGGAGAGCTGCAGACAGCATTCCTATTGTTTTCAGTGGGCTGGCCCTGATCCGGCTACTTTGGGTGGCAGTCTGGAGTAACTGGGGCAATCGGAAGTATTTGCATGCTTCTATTTTGGTCGGGACTGGCCGCGTTCGACACCTTGGCCGCCGTTATATGATTGTTTGCATTATCCTTTATCTCGATAAATTTTTATTGCTGGATGGAATCGACTGTAAGCAATTCGCTCTCGATCAAGCTTTGAATTAGAGATGAAGAAGTAAATAGAAAGCCTACTATTGCTTATGGTGGGGTGGTAAAGGTTGCCGGGGGGGTGTGTTCCAGAGCGCAAAATATATATCTCCGAGTCACTACACCACAAACATCAATCTATGTATCCGCTCAACCTCCTTACAAACATCAATTATGACATCGGAAATCAAGTTAACAACATGATATACTTAAATACTACCATTGGATCTTCCTAATTACCAGGATTTAATCTCACCATGCTGTCAACGTGTGGTGAGCAGACATAGTACTGCGCCTGCACCTAAAAATAACGATACAATACCCGACTTCACTCCCTGCTTGATTACATCTGCACCGAACACCAATAGACCACCCATAGACCGACTCAAACATTGAGAAAAGTATATACACCCAGCAGCATCTCCACCGACGAACAAGCTCACCAAACAAACTACATCACACTTCATAAGAGTCCTCATTCCCGTCGCTTGACCCGTAAGCTCACCCAATGTCTAAGATAGAGAGTCTAGACCTTCGACGCAGCCATCATCGTTGTCAGTCACTAGATCTAAGAAAGGAACAAAAGCCCACTCCACACCACGCCACTCAATCCCCCTCCCACCGCCGGATGATCTCAAAAAGCCCCAGTTCCACATCACCACTTCCTTCCTCAACCCACTCCGCCGGTTGACTAGGATACACCCTCAAGACCACCAGCTCAAGTATGTGTATGCTCGCGGAATGTAGAACAATCAATGACCAATGAGCGGAGGAATTGAAATGAATTGTTTCCGGCCAGAGGGGGGGGGACAAAGGGCAGGGTCACACTGCACCCATAAGTTCATCCCTTGATCTCCCCTCGCAACTATCCCGCCCAGCATTCCCCAGCGACTGAACGATCGAAAGAAAACTTGAAATATGAATCAATGTCTCTCTTATCCTCTCTGCCGGTTCCCCGTGAGGCTCCTAAGAGAAGAAATGGAATCAAGTAAGTGGTCAGATATTCCCGCAATGGCGTCCTGTAGTCCAGGGAAACCGGGCCCTGAGATTCGCTGCCTGAGTCGCTTTCCAGCCACCTTCCATCAAATATGATGGCTTTCCCCCCCCAATTTTTGCCCAGTTGGCTGAGTCACTTGGGGCAACGGGTGTGGAGTTCAACCGCCGACGATCCAGATGTTCTGTCGAGATCTCAGCTTGGCTCGCGTGACCACCATCTCTTTCCCCAACGTGAGAGTAGGATAGGGTCTGGGAATTGTCCCACCATGCAGGACAAGACCGTTTCACCAGTGACATGGAGCACGCACGAGTAAGAAGAATAGTACTAGCTACCCCTAAGAAACTAAGGTTGTCCGCGTCGAAGGTCAGTCAATGCACGCCGCGGGCCCTATCTGAAAGTATCATTATACTACACTGAAAGTATCATTATACTACACTGGAAGTATCATTATACTACACTTCCCGCTCCCTTCCCCAGCAAACATCACCATCAGCCAACACCATGCACAAACAACCCAACACGCCCAGGTCCCGAAATAAATCAAGTAAACCAAGTAAACCACAAAGCCCCCCAAAAAATCAAAATAACCTCAACCTCAAACCAATCTCGGAACCCATTTCCCCCACCCTAATCAACCCCCATTCCCAGTCCCAACCCAACTCACCACCAAAACCAACCCAAACTATATACATCCATATCCACCCCCACCCGCCCAGAAAAGATAATCACAACAACCCAATCACAACATCCCCATACAGCTGCGCATCCAACTCCAACTTGACCTTTGCGTGGAGATTTAAATGGATCCGGATCCGGAGACTCTCCTTGCCGTCCTCCTCCTGCGTGGGCCCGGGCGCCTTCATCCCGCTGTTCGGCACCAGGCCCTGGGATGTGGTGTTGGTGGCGGCAGCGGCGGCGGCAGCGGCGGCAGCGGCAGGGGGGTCCGCCGGGAGGTTCTCGGCTGCAGAAGGGGCGGAGGAGTCCAGCTCGTCCTCTGGGTGGTCTTTGCTGGTGCTGTTCTTGCGGCCGCCGGTGGGGCGGCTGTCCGGGAGGCTGTTTTCGGGGGAGGTGGGAGAGGTGGGGTGGTTAGTGGTTGTGGTTGTGGAGTCTTAGGGAGATTTGAAAAGGAGTAGAAGGATGGTTTGGGACGTGGAAGTGGAAGTGCAGATGGAGGGGAAGAAGGTGACTCTAAGGACAGAAACTGGCTCTGATATGTTCTCCTCTTCCTTTTCTTCTGCTTTTTCCAGTAGTTGGTGGAAGCATTAGGGTTATAAGGGATACCATCCATGGACATGTATTGGGTGGAATTAAGAGGATAAGAAAGATAGACTGGATTGAAATGCGTCAAGACCAGCAAGAGTCAAGGACATACCTGGTAATTGACTCGGCCATTTTAACGATATCAGTAGATCCCGGTGCAACTGATTCGGTAGGAGGAGAGAGCAGAGGCAGCGGTGTTGGTGGCTGTAGGGAGCAGACGAGATCAGGCAGGAAGAACTGGGAATAGAAATAAGACGTGGACGAGGAAGAGCTTATTTCAGAAGACGGCATGACAGCCTGGAGGATGAACAAGAGAGCACCATTAAAGTATGGAGTATAGTATAGTATAACCTGACCTCATCGACTTTAATCGCAAGCTGAAGTTACCTTGCCTAGTAGCGATGGACCATCGCGGCGCTCTGGATGGAACATACTCCACCTGCCACCTGCAGCGCCAATCAGTCATATTTAACTCACACTTAATCACATCTCGCAGTTCAGCCGCGGAAAACTGCCTGCGGTCCTCTCCCGGTGTGAGCACAAGGCAGTCATCGACCTTGTTTAGAATATCTAGCGAATGGTCATACTCTTTCCTCCACATCCTTTCGACACAACCAGCGAACCCCGCCACCATGGTGATAGGAATTGCAGTAATGGCAGCTCTGCTGCCCACCATGATTGGTCTGAATGAAGCTTCCCAACACACGCGCGACCATGAAGAAGATCGACGAGCATCAGCCCGCAAGCAGCGCTGCCATCTGATTGCCAGCTGCTCGCTCACCCAAGGGACCCCTAGCCAGCGCGGCGAAATCCAGAACGCAAAGGTATACGTGGATCAAGACGGCCGGGTGAGTCTGCCTGTGCTTTCCTTCCCAACTACTGGCTGTCTGCTTCAGTCTGCCGTCTACCGGAGCAATAGACAACCGCCATTCAAACGTCGCAGCAAAGCTAAACATAACAACCTGTTCCTTTCGGAACATACAGCTCTACATCACGAAAGAACCGCCGAATGCGATGTCTCCATTCAATGGGGGGTTTTATACCCATCCAGATTTCCCGACCGATAATACCTCCGGGCTGGTGACTATCACAGGCGAGCAACCACCCACTTTACGGTGGGTGTTTCTCGACGCGCAAACGCACGAAGTGCGCTGGGGTAGTCGACCCGACAGTGAAGGCCACGTCTGTGGGCCCTTTGACTGGACCAAGGATAAACAGCGATTGACGCTGGATGGGTGGGAGGGCTGGCTGGCGGTGCGATTGCCGGACGATGAGGCCGGAACCGGGCTTTGGCGGCTGTACTTCGACCTGAACGATGACGGAGCAGACCTGCCAGTTGGAGCGCAGGGATTGGAGATTGTACTAAGGCGGATAGCGGCGGAAGCTTGAGGGTTTGATTGTTCTGTGTTCATGAATAGATCATTGTAGATAGAGTAGGCTAGAATAGAGGGTGTCAAGATGACGAACTGCGCGGAAGGTGGAGCAGTGGAGCGGCTGGTGGAGTGGACAGCAGCATGATGTTGGATCTGGTGGATCTGCTGGCGGATCCCCCCAACTACAAACTGCTGCCGCCATGGAAAAGCCCGAGCTGGCACTTTGACCTCCACCCACTTTCACCTGATATCTTGTCAAGCTGCGTTATTTCAAACTCTCTCTGTCTGGATTTCTTGCCGGATGCGCGTTGGTAAACCCATGCATACCCTCTCTCAGCATGCGAGACTGTCTGCTGGTGCCTCTTTGACCATCTAAATCAGTCATTCCAGGGCACCAGACCGACTTGCTGTAGCGGGTCGTCTTGCTTGATTTATCGCCCCAATCGCATTTGGGGAGTCGCTCTCACAAGGTGGAATGCGAACATGTGCTGCCTCGAACACTCGGTGGAGTCTGCAGATTTGTATCTCGCTGCATGTCCACTCGCATATTTTCCTCCATCTCCTCTGCTTCCTCCTCATCTCCCCAGAATTCTCGAAGGTCTTCTGCTCGCCAGCTTGTTGCCCACCCCGTCTCCCGCTCGATACGCGTCAGCGTCTGAATGATAGCGGCGTGCTCGGAATGATGAGACATCACTTTGCCAGCCAGCCAGAGAGGTTGCAATGCATTGGTCCAGCAGCCGCTAAGTTACTAAGGATTAGCACCCCATTAAATTATGACACTGTGGGACTCCATACTGATGAGTGTTCGAGACGGAAATAGCGCAGATTTGTCGTGCATGCCAGAGGACAGACTTCTAGTTCCAATATCAGCGGCCGAATAGCTAGGGGAGCTCTCCAGCAAGATCCTACCGTTCGACGTCGCTGCATTGGAAGAGTTTTGGGCTTTCCCTGGAGTAAGAGAAGAGCGCAGGCATGATAAAGTTGGTTCCCGGATACTGAGGCGTCAGATAGCGACATATGAGCGCTTGAGAGGCACTTACTAGCAGCTCCATTCCCATAAAGCACAGTTGGAAACGGCTTGTCATTATCCGCCCCAACTGTCGCGGTCGGGATACTAAATAATGGCTTCATCTGACTGGGACGATTCTCGTACCACTGTTCCACATCATGCAGCAGTTGTTGCCATCGGTCAACATACGATGGGCCATCTTCCAGGATGCCGTGGTAGTATGTGGAAAGTCTAGCAGAGCCAAACAGCACGCCCAGTGTCTGCGCACATAGGAACACAGTGTAATTGGCATATGTATCGAAAGCATAGACATTTGACGCCAGGAACAACTGTGCAGCTTCGGTAGGGGTCATGTCGCGTGGAATCCAGTTACGGATGGGTATGATGGTTTCTTCTTCCGAGATGAGGCCACCGCAGACGTCTGAGATCATATTAGAATATTCGGGGCAGGGAAAGTAGGTGGACGGCATACCCATTCTCGCGAAGCACCAGAATAGCGCTTGTTCCTCCTTGCCAGAGAATCCATTAATCTCAGCAGCCTGGATCAGATATGCGCAGCCATCGAGATGACGCCGCCACTCCTTGGGGTTGCCTGACGACCCCAATCAGCTGTGCCAGACTTAAGAATGAATAGAACGTACAGCTAAGCATTTCTAACACGCAAAGAATTACGCAGGACGCGATAACAGGAGTGCTCTTGCTTTCAAGCTCAGGGAGAAGCAGGTGAATTGCTTCTTGGTACAAGGACAGACTTTCGGATTGAGACTTCCGGTTCTGTTTCCGCTCCATCTGTCGGGCGGACAGGGCTAGAATTGAGTAGCGGAGATGAGGCGCCGACTTGGCCATTTGTGGGAAGGTTGAAGCAAAATGACGATGGTTGTCAAACATGTCAAGCTGAAGGGTCAGTGTGTACTGACAATTACCACAAGGTTCGTGCCGGACTCACCCAAAGACAAATCTCGTTAAGGTAATTCTGCCACAGAACATTCTCCCGTTCGGGCAGAAGCTCAAACTCGCGCCCTGCTCTCTGATGTGTGACGACAAGAAGTTCTGTTCTTTTATAACCTTCTAGCACTGTACTGCCGGGCTCCGGCACGATCTCAGGAGTCCTTCCCCGACTTGGGATATCAGGTCGTGCAGTCCAAAGCTGCCGGTTGCGAAGGGTAGTATGAAGAGCCTCATAAGCAGATCCAGGAATAAAGACATCGTTGGTAAAGCTGACTGCGTCAGAGAACACGCTCTGGTCAAACATGGGCGAGGGTATCGTATGATAGACATTGGATGCTGAATGTGGGAATTGCCCGGTGCTCCCCGTAAGATTCTGAACAGCTGCCAATTCATCGACAATAAACTCAGGGCTCGAATGCATATATGGGTGGTAATGGGACACATCTGGAGAGCTGTGGGATGCGTGCTCCGCCCCTCCGGCAGACTGCTGCAGATCCAGGCTGTCTGGGTTCTGGAAGCTCTCATGCGATAGCGGTGAGAGTCGCTCCGCGGTACGCGGGCTGAGATCGGGTTCAATAATTTGAGTGCTCGGCGAAGGAGACTCCAGCCCGGGGCATGCGTTGGCATTCTCATCATTGTTGCCATCCCCTAAAGGTGCTGATGACGCGACACGCTCATCTACTGGTCGTCGAGATTGCTTGACTGCCGCTGTCTTGGCAGATCGCGCAGGAACAACATTCAAGATCTAGATCCGTCAGTTAAATACTCCTTAGTTGACCTACCTGGTCGACTGTAATGTACCTTAAATTTACTCTGACGACAAGCACGACTGGCAGTTTGGTTCATGGAAGGATGCTCGGGTTCGAGGACTTTGAGATTAGCCTCTCGGAAAGACCCCAGTCGACGCCATTCACACGTGTCGCCTCGACGTCTGCAGCCCGAGCAAACAGGCTTTGCTTCGTCACCTGGTACTGTCAGTTTAATGATCCAGTTGACCTTTGAGCAGCAAGATGGAAGCAGATAATTACATTTCCTGCGGCGACGGCTGCAGTTGATACAACCGGTACGAGTGCGTTTGCGCGGCGCAAGGCGGGATGTGTCAAGGGTAGCGCGCATGTTGTGGCCCGGATCAATTTCTGATTCTACCGCCATTTTCAATTGAAGGAGAAAGAGAAATCTGGGGGATAAGATGGAGATCAAATCGAGGTACGTAGTATTGATGGAGAAACCGCCGAAGAAACGGAGACTGCGGGGAATAACAAGGAGCGAGGAAGAAAATTTCCCGATCGGGTAGAGATAACCGCCGAAGATATGGGGAAAGGAAGAACCCGGGGGAGGGGGGGTTTCCCGGGGGCCCCGACCGCAACTGCCTGTTTGGGAGGCTCGTCTCCCGGCACCAGGCTTTCAAAACAAAATTGTTTCGTTATCACTGCATATACCGCAGGTACTGGATATCCTGGATATCTCAAGTCTACTTCCATAAGCACTGAACTCTGTACACCACCGACGACAGAGACCTGCCCGTCACTCAACATGTTCAACCATTCCTACCTCCTTGTCTCCAATGCGCTCACTGACATCGCCCACTGCGCCCATCGACGGGTGCCAGTGAAGCTGCACCTTCTCTCCCGTGAAAAGCAAGTCCACTTGTTCCAGCGTGAGGTTGCGTGTCTCGGGATAGAAGAAGTAAATCAAGGGGAGGAAGCAGAAATTAAACACTAGCAAGCCACCGTTAGCTCGGGTTGATATCACTCTACCTATCAGGGGGCCATTCTTACCAGCAAAGTAGATATACGTGCGATAGCCGATGCTGTCAATACTGACGGGCGTGATTTCCACGACAAGAAAGGTAAAGATCCCTGCAGATGGCAGTCAGCAAATCTCCTCGAATCTTGACCTTCACCCATCGTGATACGTACAATTGGTGGCAGTAGCCAATGCGGCAGCACGGCTTCGGATCGCCAGCGGGGCATATTCAGCGGGCACTGCGCGCAATCGGTCAGTGAAGCTTCGTCTCCGGAGGATGTGGGAGCCAACTTACATAGCCACGGAATAGCCAGCAGGCCAACGGCGAAGAAGAAATTGAAAAGGAACAGCATCACGGTGGCCACGATACCAGCCGCATGGCCGCCATCGTACACAGTGCCAGCCAAGATAGCCATGCAGCCACATTGTCCCGCCGCCGCAAAGAGCATGAGTTTCCGACGACCCAGCCTGCGCAAATTAGCAGCTGAGCGGGTGAGCTTGAGAGCAAGAACTGTACCTATCAATAGTCCAGACGGGGACAAAGGTAGAGACAAAATAGGCTACCCCGTTGAAGCCCGCCATCAGTAGGGCCAAGTTGTGGCTCATACCAACCGAGTTCTCGAAGATCACCGTGTTGTACTGCGTTCCGTCAGCAAGACATAATCAATTTAGTTTCAAGGGTAGAGTAGTGGTCTCACATAAGTGATCAAATTGACTCCCGACATCTGCTGCATGAACTGTCCCCCCATTCCCAGAAGCGTGCGGTAGAAGAACTTCTGAGGCCCGTTGCTGAAGATCATGCCGAAGGATCCTTCCTGGGATGCTGCCTGTTCCTCTGCAATAGCACGAGAGATCTCTGCTACCTCCGTGGTGACGATGGTGTCAGACTCAGAAATTTGGTCTGCGTTAGGCTGAACAGCCCAGATAATGTGTTGCGCTTCGTCGCGTTGGCCGTGGGAAATAAGCTTTCCTGTGTTAGCTCCCAAGTCCCAGAGCCCCTCGGGACAGCAAAACTCACCCAACGAGGCGACTCGGGCAAGGCAATCACCCCTAGAAGTGTGATGATGGCAAAAAGAATCTGCAGCGCGATAGGAAACCGGAATTGAGCTTCGTTGTCGACATAACTCATTCCATAATCTGAGCCCTTTTAGTATGTGTGGCGGGGCTGGGGAAGCAGTAGATAGACTAACCAACCCAGTAGGCTGTCATGACACCGAAGATGTTGATCGTGAGCTCGATCGCCAGCTATACGAGGTCAGCACCGACCATCGATGTTGTCAGCGAAGTCACATACCCCTTTTCCTCGACTGGATGCTTTGCTCAATTCCGAATGCCACACCGCTACTCCAATCAGCCTGCATCCTAGGGGGACGGTAGTCTGAGGACAGACGTACGGATTGTACTGGTATTGAGACCATTGCCGACGCCGGCCACGATCCGACCCACAATCAACTGCGGGATGCCATACGCACTGCACTGAATCGCCGCCCCGATACTGAGGATGATGCAACCTGCAATGATACACATCCGACGGCCGATCTTCTCACCCGCGAACAGAGCAATCAGGGCACCCAAGAAGCAGCCCTACTCCATGGTCAATTGGTGTGTCATCAGCGAAATCGAAGTGCCATCAACCTACGATCTCATAGATAGCAACCCTAGCCCCAGTTAGCTCGCTGCACACAACACTTTCACAAACCTGAACCGACTTACACCGTGCCTTGCAGTGAAGAACTGCCATGTCCTGCGGAAGTCGTGTCAATCTCCGGGAATGTCCGCGTGAATGCAGTACCGGTCAAAAGACCTGACATAACACCTTGATCATATCCGAATCTAAGCCTTCAAGTCAGACTTGGTCCGATAAAGATGGACGAATGCATTGGATGACTCACAGAAGGAAACCACTTCCTGCAGTGGCAGTAATAGCCAGCGACAGTGGCTTACCAGTGAGAACAGTCATGTCTTTCCGTAAAGATGTTTGAATTGTGATTAAGGAACAAGGCTAGCAAACTAGGGCTGGCTCGCATTGACTCCGATCTATTTGGGGCTCCATCTACTTTTATAGGGCTGGGCTGGAGTAGGGTTAAAATCGCCGAAAGACGGCAGAAGGACGGGATAATAGGACGTCATTTTCATGGGGTGGTTTCTGCGGGGACGGACACGAGGAGCCCGGGGTTGTGTTTTTGGGAAGCGGAGAACAACCGAAACCCTCTTTCCAAGGAATTATGGTCAAAGACGGAACCATAGCTTCCTTTGAAACTTCATGGTTGGATCCATGGTTATTCATGCTCCCAGAAACCACGTTTGTAGCGGTTCAACAGTTTGACGCCTTTTGGTTGTATCGCAAGTCAATATAGTGAGAACGTTGGCCTGGTCATCAAAGTCTGCATGCTCATAAGCATTGTCCCGAACGTTGCGCACCTCCATTCTGCACGACATCATCTGATTCATGCGACTATCCAACCTCCGCTTCATGAATTAGGCTGAGTGGGTTTCTGGCTTAGGGCATCACCAAGTTTGCGCTCGTATATTCCCCAGTTTGGTAAGCTTTGGCGCCTCGGCACGACCCACAGTGGGATGAGCCGAAGGGAATCGGCAAAGCCACGAGTTCATCATCCCGGACTTTCCCCTTCAGGAAGGCTTTAGCACCACCCGTCCTAGTGGCCGGTTACCCTCCCGCCCGCGTACTACAGTTGACTACATACCGGCAAGCTAACTACCCGTGGATGGTCTCCTGTGTGGTGGCTACTGCACATACACCAACTCATCACAGGCCAGGTCCTGAACAGCGGCGCTATACCATCATAGATCAGTGGAGCAGATAGCATAGCGATGAGAACGGTCCCAGCGCGAAACGCATGTTAGAAACGTTCCAACAGGATGTCTGTCCCACAACAAGTTTCCTCCTACTTATGTTAAGCATAAGCGCAGTCCACTCACCAACTGCACACTCCCCATATAACTGTAGTTTCTCCACGACAGCCCTCATTTAAATTCCCCCTCCCCCATACCCACCTAACCACCTCGCCTGCACCTAAAGTCCTCTCGCACAAGTTCTCACCATGTCCCCTTCCATCACCGACAACACCACACCCGAGGTCGCCCTCGAGCACACCACCCCCGCCGTCGCCGCCTCAACACAGCCGCCGGTTATCGGGCGCACCAACGACCTCTTCTCGCTCGGCAATCGCACGGTCGCGATCACCGGCGGCGGCCGGGGACTGGGGATTGTGCTGGCCGGAGCCATCATCGAAGCCGGCGGCGACGTCGTGTGCCTGGATCTTCTCCCCGCGCCCAGCGCCGAGGAATGGGCCTCGGTCCAGAAACTGGCCAGCGCGCGGCGCCTCCACGCATCCTATATCTCGTGCGACATCACCGACGAGGCCTCCACGAGCCAGATCCTCGAGCAGATCGCCGCCGAGGCGTTGGGCCGCGATATGCCCCTGCGGGGACTCATCACCTGCGCCGGGATCCAGCAGATGGTGCCCGCGTTGGAGTACCCCGTTGATATGTGGAGGAAGATGTTGGACGTTAAGTAAAAGCTTCCACCACCACCACCAAGGCCACGGTTCCTGTGGGAGGATGTGATGTGTGAAATCTAACAAGAACCGGTATTCAGCGTGATTGGCACCTTCATCCCCGCCAAGCATTGTGCTCGCATCTTCAAGGAACAGAACACCCCCGCCAGCATTGTGATGATTGCTTCGATGTCTGGGCAGATTGCCAACCGAGTAAGAGACTCCCTTCTTTCCATTCCATCGACTGTGACAGAAGAAAAGCTAACAGGGCGATCGCACACACAGGGTCTCACCTGCACAGCATACAATTCGTCCAAGGCGGCCGTCCACCAGATGTGTCGCTCTGTAGCACAGGAATGGGGACAATATGGCATTCGCGTTAACACCTTATCCGCCGGAGTCGGTTTGCTCTTATATCCTCATGTGTCCAGCGATGACTGCTAACCATTGATTCAAATGCAGTATATTCGCACCGCCATGACGGATGCCTTGCTCGCAGAGAAGCCGGAGGTGGAGGAGACCTGGATGCGGGGTGCGCTGCTGGGCCGCCTGGGCGTGCCTGAGGACTTCAAGGCGCCCACGGTGTACATGCTGGCCGATGGCAGCGGATTTATGACGGGAGCGGACTTGAGGGTAGATGGGGGCCATTGTGCCTCGGCTTGATTGCGGGATTCATTCTGATAGATGGCGTTCAGGTTGATTGGGGAATGCATTTCATTTGACTTAATAGGTTGTTTATCCGCGGTGGTCAATCATGGCCGTAGAGCGGCAGGAGCCAGAATTCTAAGGTGTCCAAAACGTCGAAATCATTGATCTGACTCTAGAAAGTCTCGACTTTCAAGGAAAGCCCTGGGTCCCACGGCCACAGTTCGGTTCAATTGCATGAAGAAAGTCGTATTCTTAATGTGCCCTGTGCTTATGACCCCTGGGTCTACGTTAACGGTCCCAAGGGCGAGTCGCTGTAATAAATGTCACTGTACGCAGATTTCCATTAGGCGATACGCCAAAGGATTATGACCGAAAAGGGTATGACGGGTTGGGTGCATGACTGTGGCGCGCAGATAATGTCGCTTCCGGGGGAGTCAAGTGGTCAATATCGATTTCTATCATCTTCCTCAGCTTCCCACACCGAATCAATGCTCCATCGTCTCGAAGAGCCGTTCATGCAATGGTAGTCCATAACACCACTAAGATTGGGTGTCAAATTCTAATGCGGGGAGCTATATCCTTACTGTCATACGTCCGAAGTGGAATAGTCAGCGCTTTTGACTTCACCATCAACAAGGTCCGGCCTCGAACAATCCATTAGCTTTCGATTCATCATTGTTGAATGTCATGGTAACATGGCAAGCAGTTAATGGCCGAGCTGCATCCCTCAGGCGTAGGCTTGCATCCAACGCTGAGTAGAAAGGTTTGTTGGTTGTGGCACCGGAAAAACAAGATGGTGTGAGAAAATACCCAACAACGGTTGACGAGCAGCCAATGGGCCAGAACGGTACGAGCACACCAGTCTATCCTCATGGCTTCCGAGATAGTTAACGAAGATAGCTGTCAACTGTTTGATCTCCGATGCGACCCTTCCTGTGCCAATGTGTGTCTCAATGTTTACCTTCTCTGCGGCATGTTGTGATGAAGATTGGAATCATGATAGACCCACCAGCAAAAGCCAGTCTGCAAGAAGAGCGGGGATTCACATACTTGAGCAGGGACACGTCTCCAGAAGGTCGAGCACTCTTGCACATAGAGGGGTGGACGGCAGGCCCATGCGAGTCTGAGCACGGTGCTGGTCACAGACCCCGCGCGCATAGTCCGTCATGCCATGACAACGGAGTGACTGACATTACCTTGATATCAATCCTTGACCAATCGTCGTTCAATTTACTGAAGAGGTATGGATGCATGAGGATGCAATGCTGGCGCCAACCCGGCAGAGTTGAGATGAAGATAAAGTATGAAAACAAGCCGTGTGGAAGTCTGGGGAGATCCAGCCGCCAAACTAGATTGACAATAGAATTGAAAGCTCCCCGCAGGAAACTTTCCAGAGAGACAGATCGTGTGGGTTCACTGTACATCTGATTGACGATTTGCACGATGGAATCCCCGGGCGAGCCGCCACTAGGCAAGACCGGCAGATGTGTGCATTAACGCGGCCGATAACGACAAGGGTCCTGAGTATCTCTGACCTGGGGTGGCTTTCCGAGCAGTCGATTGGATTGGACGTAGTTTGATGAGGAACATGGTGTACATATTGTGTGGTGGTTCAAGGAGAGGTTGAGCTTTAGCGCTGGAAAATAGCGCGCGTTAATCCCTGAGGCAGTCAGTATCTCGGCCTTGTTCGTTAGTTTGCAGCATTGCATGTTTGGTCTATTTGAGCGATAGAGACCAGTTTTCAAGCACTTTCGAAGGAGGAATATAAAGAGCATGGTCCCGATGATTGCTTGAGCTTCATTTCATTTGACAGAGCAGCCGACACCTTCTCGTCAATTGTCACACATCTTTGCAGATCAACCGATCTGAACCTGCATTCGAGCGAAACACCGTCTTCCCCTCATTCTCCCGGAAGCCAATCCACACCAGTCAGGTCTGCAGACTGATAATCCATTGTATTGGAGATCACACCTCTTTGCAGCCCGCTTGGGTGAGTTGAAACGTGTGGAGGCGGATAGACGTAGTGTGTGGAAAGGGTGATTCGGGGTCCTTCAATGCAGCCGCGCACCTCTCGGGATCAAGCCATTTTAGGTCTAGCGCGTGACACTGACCTTGGATTCGTGACAGACCATCATACTTACATGACATGCGTCTTGTTCTTTTACCGTCCTAATACCCGTACGGTACGCGAAATCCGTCTGCCTCTCTGGACTGTCGGCGTCAATTCGAGATAAATAATAATCCTCACCCTCCACATCTCGCCCGCCCTCCATCCCTTAACCTCCTCCCCCACCCTCCTTCACTTCTTCTCCTGAGAAAACAGGATATCACGAAAGAAAGTTCCCTTCCGGTCTTTCTCTATTCTTATCACAGCTGCGACGTTCCCGGTTGGATCGCTTCAGTCACCTAGTCCCGTCTCGCCCACTTCTCCCCCGGGTGTCGGCTGTCCCATACAAGATCGATCTATATACGACACCAGTGGCCCTTGTCTACTGCCACGCACGCACAACGTGACCAAGGTCAGGCGCATCCTTGCCAGAACAAATTGTCATCTGGCTCCCAAAGCCTCCTTTGTTTAGAGACACTTTGAGCACTCTTGTGTCCTACACATTACCTAAACCTCTCAAGACTCCGACACTTCTACCGTACATCATTTCAAAAATGCCGGCGAAGCCAATCCTCCATCCGTTACAGACCCCTCGCACAATGACCTTCCCCTCCGAACTTCAAGCGGACTCAGGAGCCAGTCTGTCCGGAGGAGGAGCAAGGAACAACAGTGACGACGGCCTGTCGACGCCCATCACCCCACCCGCCGCCTACACCGAATTCCTCAAGGCCCTCACTCCGATCTTCTCCCCCGCCGACGGCAATGGGGCCACCACGCGCTTCGTCTGGGACAAGGCCACGAAGACCCCGACATCACAGCCGGCCAGTGCGGTCAGCGGCTCTTTCAACTTCTCCGATGCCACCAGACCCGCGACGGCGTCGCTGCCGCCGCCGACGCCTTACGGCACGGTGCCCCCGACCCGGCGGGACATGATGAACTTGCGCCGTCTGCGCATCCCCCCGGCCATGCGGTACTCGCCCACGTTGGAGACGCCCCGGAGCGCGAACTCGATCTTGTCGCCCTACTCGCCGTCGGATTGGAAGCTGCGGTATTGGGAGGGCCCGCGGAGTGCGACCGCCAGCCGGGTGAGCGTGCGGCATGTGGTCACCCATACCGTGACATATAAGCGAACACAGCTGGAGGATCCGCCCAAGGGGAAGCGGAGAAAGCATAGTGAGGAGAAAGATGAACTGTGAAAGTTTGATTCTATTCAGTTTAAAGCGCTTTTTTCTTGTCTGGGTTAGGTAGCGCTGGGTTTGGTGTTGGGAGTTGGGGAGCGGGTTCATTGTTGGCGAGGATATAACAAATATGATTAAGTCTCTTGAAGACATTTGGAAGTCACTTATACCTTGACTTGAAGTCTGTTTCTCTATTCGATGAACATGAGAACGGGGAATACCCGCAGGAAGCGGCTACGACTGGTTCATTGGCAAACACAAGCAGACTTGACCAATGACGATATGTAAATGGAGTCTAATCTACCACTTTCAGTGACGTCGGCATGAGTGTAAGTTCTTCGCTATAGTCGACCCTCCATCAATCAACACTAGAGCCATCGACACTGTTTCTTACCATCAACTTGGTCTGAGAAAGGTACATAAGGTACAGTACATACTGACCAACTTACAAACCTCCTCCCTGACCAACTCACCCTAAGCTCCATCCATACCACCCAAAACCCACAGACTCAAACCCACAATTGACTTCGGGCCAATACACCAGCACCAGCACCAACCCCGAGCCTCCTGCAGAGCATCTGCGCCGCATGCACACACCTCCCACCCCCCCTCAAGCCTACCGTGGGTACTCTGTATACAATCCGGCCCCCCTCCCAGATCCCAAGATCCTCTGAATCCCATTCTCCCCTCCAGCCATAATCACGTGTCTACCCTAAAGATCCTGCGACATCAACAATCACCCATCCACAACCCATCTCTACCCACCATCACAAGTACAGAAGGTCCTCTCTCAGCTAGCCTATTCCTGTTTCACCGGTCCCTTTTCAAGCATAAGCGCGATTCACGAGCTAGATGCCCAACCACGCCGGCGGGTCCCAAGCATCCGGAAGCGCGCACTGACTGACGATGTGTCTATGGTAACAGCCTTCTCGCGGCGGTGTGGGCCGTTCACTCGCCCCAACCGTCCTATCCCATCTCAGGGAGATGAGTCGTGACCCGGCCCGGGGCAGTGGTAAAGATGACTATTGGGGGGAGAGAGGGAAGCCTGAGCCGGAAAGGTAATTCCCACTCGGGGAAGACGGGAGTGAAACCTTTTTTTTCCGGGGGCGCGGTTGTTACTTGTGAGGGGAGGGGGTTTGTGCTTTGGTTGGGAAGGGATGGGGTGTTGTTCGGGTTGGTTTGAAGATGCAGTAGAGTGAGGACATGACTTGGGGGGGTTAGATTCTGGACGTTGTTGTGTTGGTTGTGAGTCTTTGGGGGGTTCGATTTGGATAGATGGTTGTGGTTGTCTGACGAGGTAGTAGAGAGGGCTTTTGTGTAGATACTGATGTAGAGGGGTGTATGTATGCATGTTTCCCAGTTGAAAGCATCGCTATTTACTCAATGACCCGTCTATGTAGGAGAGAGTATCATCAACAGCATCGATAAAGTCGAAATCCCAAGGGTCAAGAAGAAGAAGAAGAGAAGAGGCTCATCACAACCAAATACATAGTATGCTCTGTGGTGTACGGTAACCAACCCACCGTCAGCGGTAACGGTAAATGACCAATACACTCGATACCAACGCGAGCGCACGGCGGTAACCCTACCCTCCCCATTGGAACCATTTACGCCCAGAGATCGTGAGCAATCTCTCTCCCCCCGCCCCTTTCTTGTCTGTGGGCTTGCAATTCGACCTTTTAGTAAACTGAGCCACCCTCGACTAAGACTGACATTTACACTCTAACCCGCGTCCAAAGTTCCGGTGATTCGCCCCGTGGGAGCGTCAGGTCGAAGAAGTCTGCCGTGCTAAACGGTCGCCGGTCAACCCTGCCCGTGCCCGGGCACTGCGAGGAGAGCCCTTAGATCAATCTGTGATTTAGCACCTATCGATGGGACCAGGTCATTGGCCAGCAAAGCGCGCTGACTGTTTCATGTTTGCTCGCTGAAGAATTGCGGGCGCAGGCAAGCGGGATTAAGGGGTGGGAGATTTCTGTAGTGTGTACTGTACATTAGATTGAGATTGAGCTAGAAATAGAAATAAAAACTACAAGAGTGAGATCTTAGTGATGAGATAGAGATGGCTTCGAGAAAAACTCACCACTCACCCTCCGTGATAGGGCTGGTCTGGTGCCAGCATTCATGACCTCTACTGTTGTGGCTCTTGAGTATCCTCGATGCTCCAGTCTTGTATCCTCAAGCTCAATGCTAGATCGAAGATTGTTATGAGCAACAGGTATGAGTAGAATAGACACGCGCTCCTCCAACGCGACCTTCTTCACCACAACCTTCAATCCGAGTAGACAGTGTGCTAGAAGCTAGCTACTTGGTACTAGCATTCCTCCTCAGCTCCGGCGTAGCAGCCTAGGTAACATCATACCTAGTAGCCTGGCCATGCAGACGAGCCAACCAGTAAGTAAGAAAGTCCCCCTCGGCGCCAAAACCCACCACACGTCATCTAAACTCGACCCCCCACATCGATCCTTATCCCGGCGGAACCAATGGTTCCAGAATCGGGAGGGGAAAAAGCCCGCCGACAGGACCCACCATCGCCCTAAGAAGCCTAGTGCCGGCGCTTAACTGCAGCTGCCACGATGTGGTCCCGGCGAAGTACTGCCTGTACCTTCAGGTCAACTACTGTCACTACCACAGGGTGCAACAGCCCTGCTAGTATCGATCCTCGGTACTAAGGTATACTATATTTAGAAAGAGTAGACTACAGAATAGGGCACTATCCCAAGTCCTACCCATAGTGTCGAGAACACACAAAAGGAAGAGCGAGAAAGAGTGACAGAAAGGAGCACAAGATACTTACCAACAACGCCTAACCATGAAAACAAGCTCCCATGCAATTAACCTTTGTGAAGGATTTTCCACCCGCCCCGAAAAACCACCAGAAAAAAAATATTCAATGTAGAGACGAAAAATTCGGTTCATCACACCCATAACGCCTTACAACCCCATAGATTTGCCGCCGTGATCTCAGCCGCTCGCACTTCGCCCCCCACCCCCCTCTCATTCGGAGGGGATCATCGCACGCGTGTCAACCTGTGCCCCTTCCTCTGAAAATTCCTATTTACCAGATTCGTGCAGAGAGTTGACCTTACGCAACAGGTTTAGCCGTCTGAAGGGAAGGGGGACGGAAGGAAAACCTGTGATGACTTTAGACTGGGATTGATAATTCAGCGGAAATAGCCAACTACCTAATCAGCAGAGGCGGGCAGAGGAAAAAGCGGGGCAGGGAGTAAGTAAGTAGGTGGGCAGCGTCTCGCGGTTGGCCCAATCCGGTTGGATTCTTTGGTGTCTTCTCTGCAGGCTGAGGATGGATTGGCTGGCTGACTGACTGATTCACTCGACTACACACGTAACTCGACGGCTGGATGTACAGTATACTACTCCGTACCGTACTGTGCAGTAGACTTTCTGTGCTCTGCAGTGGGAGGGAGGGGCAGCTGTTTTCCTAGTCTGCAGCATAGTCGAACAGTGCAAAGGTCAGCAGGTGAGTGGCAGATGCGAGAGCCAGACACACATACACACACACTTCCTTTCCCTCTTGCTGGAAGGGCGGGTAGTGTCCTCAAAACTCTCGGATATCTGCAGGCTTTCTATTTTCATCACAGGCTAAGGAAGTTATTTTGGGTGATTGAAGAGACCCTGAAAGAGACACTCTGATTGGGCTAAGCGCAGAAGATGCTATGTATGCGTACTGCTATTCTGGGATGGAGGTGGGGAGAGGAGGGGAGGAGATATTTTTGGGAACCGCTCTTATGGCGGCTGCAGTGACGATGGGCCATACAGTGGTTTGCGATCGCTGCATTGGGAGCTTATATCATGAGGTTGGAGCCGGAGATGATGAGAATCATTGATGATGAACGCAGATGCTGGTCCGAGTGTCGTCGTCGACAATGCTGCTTGGATTCACATTGCAACTGACTTGGTCCGAGGTCGAACATCAACAACACACCGGATAAGACTGTCGTCAGTCCTGTCAGTGCATCGAATGAACAACCCCTCCCGATGATAATATCCTCCGGACAATCCCCATGGACTGAATCTTGATTTGACTGGTGGAGCGTGCGTTCGTCAACCGGTCATAGTCATCGACCTCATCGGGATTTTCGCAAGTCCGTGACGAATGGCTGGGGCTGCCGTGATTATTAGCCGTCCTTCCAGCCCAGTCGATTCATGCCCCCCCCTTATCGATATACCAGCGGTTAGTCAAGTTGATGATGTTGACTTTTGTGATGATGATTGCAGAAATCGAGTGCGTTGAGTTTGCCCCTCTCTTTCTTTTGAGCAAGAGTCTACCAATGAACGTAGACGATTCGTCCCCTTTGGTGATACTCACAACGCGGGGGACAATTATAGAACAAATCATGGGCGGCGCGTCCGTTTCTTCGCGCAGTTTAAGCGCACCATTGCCTGCATGATCGCATCTCTTCATCACCCTTGCCCTTCCCTGAAGACTGTCCACCCGCGTGTTGCCGCCCAAATGCTCGTCTCATGGCGGCGGTGGTATGGTAAAGTTCTGTACATTGGGGGTTGCTTACCATGACCAAAGTTACGGACGTTTTCAGTCCGATGCAAGAGGAGTAATAAGCACACAGAGAAGAGGTGGTTGACCAGCTGTTGGCCAGATGGCTGCTTATAGAGGGAGAGAGCCCTTCTCGCATGAGTATATCATGGAGGGAACACTCCCACAGTGATCCATGACGAACGACACAATGAACCTGACCAAGGATATTGCTGACATGCCTGGCCCGAGTCCTCTTTGTCGCTCCACCATTCGTGGTCTCTTCCAGTGCCCCTCTTCATTCTCGTCTCTGTCTTTGATCTCTCTTCGTACCTCAAGTGGGGTACATACAGTACTTCCTCGCTCAGCCTCGGGTGGCAGCCACGAGGCCAATCAGGCATCCCTCCAAGCATGAGGCATCACCATGGACTGTTTCTCTTCGACTCTCTTCGACTGGCATGTCTGCTGCCATGATGAAGGACCTAGCATTCAACAGCAATGCAGTGATCAGGACGGACGTGGCAGAAACAGAACAAGAATGAAGGGGTGGGGGAAATAAACATGGAAGAGAGAGAGAGAGAGCGTTGAAGCTGCGGTGTGATGCCAAGGCTGAATCTATAATTAGAAAAGCCCTTCAATTTCAGAACCCCTCAAATCAAATCAAATCAAATCAATAATGCAAGTCAATCAATCATTCAATCAACACCACCACCAACGATCTTGACTTTTCTTCCGTTTTCTATCCTTAGACTCTCTATTCATCTTCTTTGAGCCTCGTGGACGACAGAGCATCATCATCATCATCACCATCAGTCCCACTGATTGACACCAACACGAGGAATCATTCCATTTCGTCTGATCCGTGATCGGCGGTTTCAGTCCCTCCAGCATCTCCATCCCCGTTTCAGATGCCTCGTTCATCTTATCAGCGACAGTTCACTGCCCTCGTCCGGTCCGCCTAGAAGGTCCAAACCTTCATCGTCCTCCGCACCATACAACGACCCGAAAGTACAAACAAACACAAAAAGACCCCCAAAGCCATGGCATACTCCCTCCCCACGCCTTTCACCCCCAACAACAGCGAATTCGCTGCCCTCGACCCATCGCGCGTCCCTGATGGCACCATATCCATCACCGCTCTGGCTCGCTTCGAATTCGAAGCCGGCAAGGGCAACGACGGAACCAAGATCCTGATGATCGAGTGGGAAGACGACGATCTCAACCGAACAGGTCCTTCAACGGATAACAACAACAACACTAAAGGCGGCGGCTCATGGCACGTCGCCTGGGAAGGGAAACAGGCGGTCCTCCCCGCCGACGAGAAGACCAAGGACAACACGCGCCGGTTCTACTTCCTCCTCCCGCCGCACGTCACCATCCCTCCGACCGTGACGCTCTTCTACGAAGCCGCCCCCGCCGATCACGACCAAAATACTGCTGCTGCGGCGGCGGCGACGACGGGAAAGGCCCCCGAGCCGCTGCATCTGAACCCCTTACCCGCCATCTTCCCGCCGGAGCTGGGGGCGGACGGCCGCTCCGCAGGCAAGAAGGGGGTGCTGCACACCATCTGGGCGAAGAAACGACTGCAGGTGCTGGACAAGGAGATCCGCGACGAGTGTCTGGCGAATGTTGAGGGGATCGCGCTGCACATGGCCCTGCAGGAGAAGGAGTGGATCGAGACCAACTTCGGGGTCTCGTTGACAGAGCGCAGTCCGCCGGCCAGCCATCCGGATCCGCACTATCCCATGGGTCCGGCGACCCCGGTGTCGCCCAGTACCACAGGTGGGGGGAAGCTGGGGGAGAAGCTCCGGGGGTTGAAGTTGCAGACGGGTGAGAAGGAACTATCGCCGAAGGGAGAGGGTATGTTTTTCTACCTCCTGACTCAACCGTTTTGACCAGGCCCAACTACAAGTCCACAAGCTAACTTCTCACTCACATAACCTACAGGCCACGCCGCCACGGCCCGCCATCTCCTCTCCCCGCAGTCCCCAGACGTCGCCGTCTCCTCCTTCACCTCCTTCCACACTCTCCACAGCAACACCAACAACAACACCACCACCACCAACAACAACAACAAGCATCAACCAACCCAACCCCCCTCCGACCCGCCCACCCGCCCCATCATCGTCCACTACCCCCCCGAATCCCTCCAAACCCACCAATCCCCTGACTCCCACCACCAGCACCACCTACAACAAAACCACCAGCACCACCTCCACCACACCGGCTTCACCTCAATAGGCTCGTTGACACACACCCACCCCTCCAGCGCCGAATCCGGCGAGGAGCTCTTCGCCAAAGCCCTGAGTCCCCGCACGCCCGACCTGCCCCGGAGTCCATTCTCCTTCAGCCCGGGGACCCTACATATGTGAGATTAGTCCTTTCTCAATATTCTGCATCTGCGACTTGGGTTAGGCTCTGTGTTATTCTCTGGAAGGTTTGTTCTCGTCTATAAATAAGCCTAGCATGCATTTACTACATCACCTTCGTTTTTTTGTTTTTGACTCTCTGCATGATGCTGTTGCTGTTGATATATTAGCCACCCTCGCTTCACTTGTGTGTGTGTTTGTGTGTTTTGTTTGATGTTGCTGGTTCCCTTTTGCTTTTATGATTCCCCCACGTACCAAACTTTATAGTCTATTTTATGTGTTTTACCTCTTTTCGTCTTCTTCATGATCTAAGATTCGAAGATGGGGAGGGAATCCCAGTCTCTTCGTTCTTTAATCTGTATATAGATGTTCGTATGAGTATGGCTGTGTGCTTTTCTTGCGCTGTATTGTAGGGGCTTAAGTATGGGGGGAGGGTACGGTGCAGAGCTTCCATTCCATGGCTAGGGTAAAGCATAGGGAATAACGGTATCGGCACCAGCATTCTGTTCTCTCAGAGAGTGAGAGAGAGAGTAACGCAACGGGCTCGATGATTGAAAGCCCATACACTTGGGTAGGTGGGCAGATGATAGGTAGACAGGTAGGTAGAATTATCCCATTTAGCATCATAACCTCAAAGCGCTCGAAGACTTTTGAACAGCCATCCATGCAATAGTACCTAGTTCACATGAGCAGTGCAGCGCAGCGCAGCGTTAATAGCTAGCTAGCTAGCTCGTATCCGACAACAACAACAACAGACAACAACAGACAACAACAGCAGATCCTCCTCACGTCACCCCCCTTACCCCGACCACACTCACACACAAGCAACCAATCTCACTAATTCTTCTTCCGCGAGCTCGCCTGTCTCGTCACCCTCCCCGTCGTCGTAGCAGAGGAAGCACCCTGCTGCTGCTGCTGCTGCTCCTCCTCCTTCTCCACAGCCGCATCCCCTTTCACCTCCTTCTCCTTCTCCTTCTCCTTCTTCGAGGAAGAGGAAGAGGAAGAAGCCTTGAAACTCGCCAACTCCTGCGCCTCCTTCCGCTCGGCATACCACTGGCCCGCCTGCAAGACGAGCACCCCCACCAAGACCAGCGCCAGGATCGTGTTGCTCGCCGCGAGGACCTTCAGCGAATCCTCGCGACCGAGAATCTGCCCTTCCTCGGCCGGCGCGTCACTGCCAGCACCAGCACCGGCGGTGGCGGCGGCGGCGGTCGCAGCGAGCAAATCATCGCCGTAGGTACCCGCGCTGACCAGCCGCAGGCCCTTCACGATATTCGCAATGTACACCGTCACGCCGCACATGTACAGGACCAGGCTCGCGCCGTCGAAGAGCATGTTGCTCTCCGAGGGGCGGTAGAGCTTGGTCACGAGGCCGGCCAACCCCAGAAAGATGACGATGTGGAGGATGCGGGGGATGAGGGGCGGGGAGGCGTGCAGGAAGCGGAGGTGGGATTCAAAGTAGTCGAAGTGCGTGGCGGGCGTCGGGGTCGTGGACCAGAGGATCGGGTAGTCGTAGGGGAAGAGGGAGAAGATGATGCCGAGGAAGAAGCTGGTTGCTATGGGTTTTCGTATGTGAGGTCAGTGTCTAGTGTGCTGAAAAGGTGGTGAAGATATTTGGGTTGCTGCTTACGGCACACGATGAGGAAGGTCGCAAAGGACCCGTTGCGGAAAGCCATGACTGCAACCTCGAAGGCTTGAAGTGCTCCGGTGCGAACACTACTTGGAGGAACGGGCTGAAAAGGAGTGGAAACAAAGTGTTCTCCGTCCTGTTTGTGGTGGTGGTTTGATCGCAACAGAAAGCAAGATCAGCCAGGCCCGAGGGGAGAGGATGCGAAAGTGCAGTCGCTGCCGGAGGTTGAGAGACAAACCCGGCTTGTGGCTTGGCGCGTTTTTCCCCCCCCTAGCTTCTTATGCTTATCAACCACACCAACACTTCCTTATCAATGACTTGGCTTTGTTTTGCTGTTCCTTCGTATCGTCTCTTCCCTCCATATCCCATCCACCCCCCTGGCTGCGATAAGCCAACTTTTTTTAGTCACTATCTCCACCATGTATGAAATGTATGATTTGTATAAAAATTTATGAAATATATGAAATGTAATAAATGAATAAAAGATCACAAAAACTTCAATGGTATCTCCCGGTAGCCCCGCAATGCAATAGACTCAATCAGAGGAAAATGAAACAATGAAAACATGCTCCTGGGGCCAGTTCGCTCATCGCTGATACCGCGGTAAGGACTCGTCGCCATGCGCCATGCCACCCACCAAGTGATGGTCTTCTTCATCATCATGAAAAACCGGCGCCGTGGGTGCGTCACCCGACTCAGCTGGTGCTATATCCAACTCCTCGGGCGCGCTGGCCTGCGCCATCAGTCGCCGTCGCTCCAGCTCTTGTTTATCATCACCCGTCTGCGCCTCGCTGGCAGCCATGGCGCTGCTGCCAGGCACTACCGTCTGCATTGACTCGGCGGAGATGGCCGGGCGCGGGGTGGAATTCTCAATTGGCGAAGGCAGATGATGGTAATCCTGGAGGTGGTCATCTTCCGGTAGCACTGGAGCCGTCGGCATTACCAACTCCGACGATCCGACTCCTGGGTCATCCTCCAGAGGCTGGCTAGGGAGAAGCATCTGCTCAGCACGCTGTAACCGTGCCTTTTCGTCCATCGGCTCTTCTGACGGAGGAGTAAAAGCCATCTCGCCGAGCGATTGATACGACTGCGGCTCATCCCCATACCCGGGTCCCGGATACTCAGGCCAGTGTGACGGATCATGGGAGTACGCCTGATCTTCAGGATACTCTGTTTCGCCGTTGGGCTGCGAATTGGGCTCAGGTGGCCACACTTCTCGCTCGGTGACGGAACTATCCTGCGAGGGCTCATCTGGTCCTGCCGCCACTGATGGCGCAGATTCCGCCGGTTTGACTCCCCGCTGCGAATCTCGCGTGCCAATCACGACTTCAAAAACGACCGCCACAACACCTTTCTCGCGCCGAATCTGGTCCGTGTCCAGAATATTGCCTGACCAGTTGGCTGTGATTGCACTGTTGTTGACATCGGCCGGGTTCAGCACTTGTCCACTGGGCGAATAATTACCACCCGAGGTGACCATATTAAACCGTGGCAGAAACCGGTCGGGAGAAGTGAGCTTCCCCCGAAGATCAACCACAACCTCGACATAGTATCGGAAATTAATCATACTTCCTGGGGTACGCGTGATGGTGGGAAAGGTGTCTTCGGGTACACGGATCGAGGTCTTGATTACGGCCGTCATGGTCACCGGGTCCACTATAAGAGGTGCAAAGGTCTGCGTCAGATCCTTTCGAAAGACCCCCGTGGTGCGACTAGAGCCGAGGGTTAGCCCTCCCAGACCCGTCCGAGAGCGTGGATAGTAGTCCTCATAGACGGGTTTCTTTCCGTCCGGTTTGCCCATAGGAATTGCCGGATGCAAATCGATCCGTCCCTGGCGGTAGAGGGTTACAATTATACCATGCGCGCTGCGCACTTGTTTGCAATGGTTGATGGTTACCATGATAGGTAATGTATCTCCTGGCAGCACGCCCGCGCGCAAAACTTCGGCCTTCGCGGTGATGATTCCGTCCGTGACCGATGGGGTAATGCTACGAGCCTCACTATTGCGCATTCCGGTGCTGGTCGACGAGCTTGGATCGCTGGGAACTCGAAAGCTCTGGCTGCTGTTGCTCGGTCGACTGGAGGAGCTGACGTTGCTGGGTGCTGGACTGAGCGGCGGGCGATTGTCGGTCGAGTTCTCGCCATTTTCCGGGGAATCGAGCGACTGCGTATCGGGCGCGTCAGATCCTGCTGACTTGGCCTTCGCTTTGGACTTGGCGCGTCGGGAGATTGGTTCGAGGGTGACAATTCGAGGTTTGGGGCGAGGAAAGGGGGCAATATCGATGTTTTCCAACACGGTGACGCGTCGTCGGCAGGTGGAAGTCGGGTTAATCGTGGTCGGCTTGGTTAGGGTGGACGTAAGCATATAGGAGATGGTCCCTCGTTCGAACTGCGTCCGAGTCATGATATCAGCACCGGCCACTTTCAGCAGGCAGTTTAGGTTGTCGCAAGGCTCTTACATTGATGCTACTGGGTAGCGCATACGGTGGGAAAGACATCTCGAAGCGGAACTTGTAGACACCCTCCTTGAGACGACCCTCCCCGCACAGGACGACCTCATCCTCAAACAAGGTTGACAAGCCATTTCCCAAATATTCCGCCCCTCGACGCCCGCGTCCGGGACCCAGAAAGCCCAACTCCGGTGATGACTCCCCCGTCGGGACGGTGTTTTTGTAGACTTTGACATAGCCATGCAGACAAACGACGAGATGTGTGATGCGAACGGGCCGAACAACGGTTAGCACGACCGTGCCGGTGATGGTGTCACCGGGGAAGTAGGAGCGCCAGGGATCGTCAGGCTCAATATAGAAGTCGGTGATGCTGCGATTTCGAGGGCCGAGTTGGGAGCGGAATTTGGCTAGGAGGGAGGAGCTATTCCGACGGAGCGTCGAGGAAGGTCGAGAAGGGAGAGGGTTGACGGACATGACACACAGCCACTACGTCGCCCAATCCATACAAATGGCGAGCGAGATGAGGTGGCTGGCAAGCGGCGAACACAATGGACGTAGAAGAATCCAGCGCAGTCAATTGAGGGCGAGCAAGAGGACAGGGAGAGTGCCGAGCCAGAGAGGGAGCAAGGAGGGGAAGGGAGGGGTGGGAATCAAGAGGAGCCTCTCAGCGCAGCGTACTGCCGTCGAATGACGAAAGCCGTCGTTGATTCAAGGTCGACGAGGCAGCAAGGGGCGGGTAACGTGAGGAAGAATGACAACTTAGAAAATAAATCCCGACCAGAAAGGAAGATGGGGATGCGATCGAGACAGAAGAGAAATTCTCCGTTCCTAGCATCAAATCAAGCAGGCAAGCAGGCAAGCAGGTAAGCAAGCAGTCAATCCCCCGGCAGGTCCGGCCCGATCTGGCCGTCGGGCGCGAAGGCAGTCAGCAATAACCACCAGGTTCTTTCAACCTCTGTAGTTAACGCAGCTGGAGAAATTGACTGGATGGCGCGCAATTTATGAGAGGTTGCGTCGCTTCAGCCTAAGTTGTAAAATCACGCAGAGGACTGAAAGGCGCGTGGGGAAGAAT